CATGGTAATTGGTACCGACGGGAAGCGCACGCGCATCAGTTCCATGGAGGAGTTGAAGAAGCTTACTGTAACAGTGGAATTAACACCGGAAACTGCTAAGGAAGCCACGGTTCCCCTCCCGTTGAAACCTGTGATAACGACGAAAAGTAGGCGTGCTGGTGTCGCGAGCAAGAAGTGAAGTCTGTTTTATTTATTTATCACAGGTCTTTGTACCATGTAAGTTCATTTGCGTAACTTTTTCGAGTAGTCACAAATTTTTAATTTTACTTTACACTCACTTCGTTTACGATAAAGTTCTTCTTTTTGTTTAATTATTTTTTTGTGACAAGTTTCACTGTTGAAAATGACTGTTTACAAGTTAAATGACATTGACAGGTCAGAATATGTGATTTGTTTGTTTAAGCGTTGGGATTTTTGCTATACAGCCTATTTTAAAGTAATATTTATTTGTGTCTTGTCTTGTTATCGACTGCTTTTTTTTTCTTTTTTTTTCCTCATTTTAATGTAATATCTTTGTTTTTTACTTTGTTTGGCCAAGTATCAGACCTGTTATTTAACTTTATTTTCTGTATTGCTGTCGCAACCTTGCAATTAAATAATCATTGTTCTTAACACTGCAACCGGCGGGTGGAGATAGTGATATTGATATCGTAATTGTGTGTGTTTTGTTTTTTTATTATTATTTTATTATTATTATATATATATAATATTTATTATTATGTCAAATTCATCTGGCAGTGACGTAGACCCATACCTGTCATTGTCATCTGCTGACGACAGTAGTAGCAATAATGATAGTTTTTCTAGTTTGCCTTCACTTTCTGACACACTTGAGGCTCGGTTTTCTGATGTTCCAAAGAATTTCAATGTAATTCACATCAACGCGCAAAGTATTCCGGCTCATTTCCCTGACTTGCTGGCGTCGTTTCACCATAAGAATATTCATGCTGTACTAATCTCCGAGTCCTGGTTGAAACCATGTTTATCTTCTTCCTCTTACGCCTTACCCGGATTTCGTCTCATACGAAATGACCGCATTGGTTCTGTTGGTGGTGGAGTGGCTATTTATTTAAGAAATAATATTCCTGTCAATATCATTAGCACCTCTCCTCAGCCACCGTTACCCGATGCGGGCGAGCATCTACTGGTGGAAGTTATTCTATCACATACTAAAATTCTTCTCGGAGTTTATTATAGCCCTTCGCTGCGTGTTAACTATTTTGATACCTTTGAGAGATTACTGGATCATTTTGTTCCTTCTTTTACTCACTCCATTATTATGGGAGATTTCAATACCTGCCTCCTAAAAAATGACCACCGCACTTCTTCTCTTCATAGAGTTATCAACTCAAGCAACATGCACATACTTCCACTTAGTGCTACTCATCATTTTCCTAACTCTACGCCTTCTCTTCTTGACTTATCTATAGTTTCATCTCCACAGCATGTTGCAAAGCATGGTCAATGTTCGGCCGATGCATTTTCTTATCATGACCTTATTTATGTATCATATAAAATTCGTCCTCCTAAAATTAAACCCAAAGTCATTATTCAGCGCAACTTTAGTGGTATAAATCGCGAACAACTTCTTGACGACGCTCGAAGTATTGATTGGTCTCCAGTATTGGACGCTCAAACCGTAGATAAACAAGTTGAAGCTTTTAACTCACTGATCATTCAGTTGTATGACAAGCATGCACCTTGCCGACCTATCAAATTAAAACACTTGCCTGCACCGTGGCTTACTGAAGACATTAAATCACTAATGCATAAAAAGGTGGTAGCTAAAACTAGATATAAATTACGTCCAAGTGCTTATAATAAAGAGGTCTACAGTAAAGCTCGAAATCGCTGCAATTTGGTGTGTAGGGATGCATTACGTCGCCATATCCATAAATCAGTTGAGAACGAAGATCCAGCAAAAGTTTGGAAATTTCTCAGGTCACTTGGGATTGGTAAATCAAAAGAGTGTTCCATCCCTAGCAGCTTTAATATTGACTCTCTTAATGTCTATTTTTCCTCTTCGTCTGTTATTAAGGACACCGACAAAAGTTATACTTTAAACCGTCTTTCTCTTTTACCAACCCTAGATCACTCTCAATTTTTTCTTGATCAATTAGCGGATTGTGATGTTGAGAAGTGTGTGCTGTCAATCACCTCTAATGCAGTTGGTAGTGACGGCATCAGTCGCAATATGTTGATTCCAATCCTTGACATCATCCTACCTGTCCTCACTTTTCTCTTCAACAGTTCCATTTCTAATTCCACATTCCCTTCATCTTGGAAGGATGCTCAAATTATCCCTTTACCCAAAATTAGTAATCCCAAATTTCTTAACGAACTCCGTCCTGTATCTATTCTTCCTTTCCTATCTAAAGTCTTGGAGCGTCTTGTTCATCAACAATTCAGTATATATATTGCTCGGCATAACCTAATGAATCCTCTCCAATCCGGTTTCCGATCTGGTCATAGCACAACAACTACTCTCGTGAAAGTTACTGACGATATTCGTCTTGCGATGGAAAATGGCCATCTGACAATACTAACATTATTGGATTTCAGCAACGCATTTAATACGGTCGATTTCGATGTACTTCTTGCCTTGCTGCGCTTACTTAACATATCTCCAACGGTAATTGATTGGTTTCACAGTTATCTGTATGGGCGCAGGCAGCGGGTCCGCCTTAATGAGAATTTCTCTTCATGGTGTGACACGAAAGCTGGCGTACCCCAAGGCGGCGTATTATCTCCTTTCTTGTTCGCAATTTTTATTAATTCTATTTCTCATAATCTTTCGTGTTCCTATCACCTTTATGCAGACGATCTCCAAATTTACTGCGAAGCACCGCTGTCTAGATTAAATGAGGCAATAGCAAACACTAACTTTAACCTCCAACTCATTGCAGAATGGAGTAGAGCTTTTGGTCTTAGCGTCAATCCTGTTAAAACCCAAACCATGATAGTAGGTAGCTCTAGATTACTTTCCAGAGTTGATACGCAGATACTTCCGAAAGTTGTTTTTGAGGGGGTTGACATTCCTTTTAGTCAAACAGTAAAAAATTTGGGGGTGGTAATGGATGGCCATCTGGGTTGGGGTCCACAGCTTCAATCTATCAGTCGCAAGTTATATGCTTCTGCCGCTTTACTGAGGAGACTGCGTAACTTCTTGCCCACTACCACTAAGGTTGCGTTAGCGCAATCTCTGCTGCTTCCTGTTCTCGATTACGCTGACGCTTGCTACCTTGATCTTTCGGAGGACCAGCTAAATAAACTTGAGCGTCTTCAAAACTTCTGTATCAGATTCATATTTGGTTTGCGCAAATATGACCATGTTTCCAACTATCGCAGTGAACTCAAGTGGCTTCCTATACGACTTCGCCGGAATTCTCGATTATTATCTCTTCTCTACAATATTTTGTTCAATCCCACTTACCCTCATTATCTCAAAGAACGTTTCAGTTTCCTGCACTGCACAAATTCTTACACATTGCGATCATCCGAGAGCCTGAGTCTTGAGATTCCATCTCACTGTACTTCTTTTTACGACTCTTCTTTCACTGTACAAGCTGCTCGTCTCTGGAATTCCCTTCCAGTTTCGATAAGGCAAGCGAAATCTTTGCAAATTTTTAAAAATAGTGTAAAGGAATTCTACCTTTCACAATGAAATATCCTGCTACTGCCGAGTATAACTATTCCTGGTATTGATAATATATATGTGTATATATATATATTATATATATTTACTAGTGGACGCCCGCGACTTCGTCCGCGTGGAAGTCGGTATCCCGTGGGAGTGAGAAGTTTTCCCAGTAAAAAGTACCCTATGTGTTATTCTGATGTATAACCTATATTGCTGTAAAGTTTTATCCAAATCCGTCCAGTAGTTTTTTCGTGAAAGAGTAACAAACATCCATACATCCATACTTACAAACTTTCGCCTTTATAATATTAATAGGATGTAAGTTTATCTATGTAGTTGTATGTATGTGTGTATGTATATTACGTATTTATCGGATATATTTGTATTATGAATGTATTCACTACATATTTTGGAACATTTTTTCTTTTTAATGTTATTGATAACATTTACACACCCCCGTCTTCATAAATTGTTATCTCTCTTTCCATCCCATGGTTGCCTGGAAGAAATCGCTTTAAGCGATAAGGCCGCCAATTGTTACATTGTATTGTAAAATGTTTTAAATTTGTAAATATAACTTTGTGTAATGTTAACAATAAAGAATTTTCTATTCTATTCTATTCTATTCTATTAAGGATCCATAGATCGTATTATTAAATCTAAGAGATGTTATGGTGTAAAATGGTGTCTCTTATACTAAAATATTTGAATATCATTATTGTAAGTTTATTGCTTCCTCTAAAAAATATATTAACATCTTGTATTTTCTTCAATAAGTAGTATAAAGTATAATATTAAATGAGTATATCATTTCTCGACAACAACTTACCCATGTAAATTAGGATGATCTTATTTGACCAGTTTTTGTAATAAAATCTTCAAATCATACAGGATTTTCTAGCCTGTGGAGCAGGATATATTAGAAAACGCTGTTCAAAGCAGATTTTCCAATGTTCCTATTTTTTATTTTACTTTATTTATTTATTTACCAACGTCTTATACTTTATACAGTGTACAGAAATCTTATAAAATAACTTGGTTAATGCAAAGACAAATTATAGGTGAACACTGCATGCAATCCAATAGCTTAATATCTATATATAAAATAACATAGACAGTATATCAGCTACACCACTTATTTCAAATTATAAAAATAATTACATAATATTTTTTAAATTAATTATTTTACAACCAATTAGGGTGCGAGTATTCCAAGGATTCCAAAATAACCTAGTTTTTTGTTAGAAAGACGAAGTATTCATAAGGCATTTCATCTATAATTAAAAAAGGTCTGTAGCATCAAAATATGAAAGCGGCAGCACAAGTGTGCCTGTAGTTAATATGATCAAAGTGGCCTCACGTGTGTGTGCACTTGTGGCTGGGCGGGCAGACTGGGCACTGTCGGCGCAGCGGCGGCTAGTGGCGTGGGCGGCGCGGGCACGAACGGGGCAGACACCGGTGACGGCGTCGTCGTCGGCGGTTGCTGCTTCTTTTTTAACGCTTCCTGAAACACCACATTGCTCGTATTATGACATGATCTCTACGGCGTATCTAGGTACTTGGTTCACTGTGCATTGGAATCGCATTTAAAGTAGGCAATATATTATATTCTTTTTATTTCTATGAAGTCAGCTTTATATATTACTGATTTAGATAGGAACTGAGAATGGCAAATTGCGCGTAAAAGCTATTTTAATGAATTACTTCCGATTGGCTTATTACGATTATTTTAAAAGATTTTCTCTATACTAGAGATGACCTTTAAATTTTTTTTTTTGTTTGTCCGCCATGTACATTGTCGAAAAATAGTTTTTTTGCGCAATCATAAATTACGATAACATATTTAATTAAATATCACAAAACGTTTTTGTACATTTTTACAAACGTTGACGTAGCAAGCTTACTCAGCTTTAATGACTATCATTTAAGCTATTACTAGCTATTAACGTTTTGACTTTGAAAAAATCCATAAAGATGTAATACGATGTAGTTTTCTCATTTTATTGACAGCGTATTTAGGCGTTATTTCTTGGTACGAAGCCAATTGAAATAAAAATCATTTTTAGTTTACAAGTTCTATTAACGCTAGCAAGCCCAGGTTGATGTCATTAAAAAATCCTTAGAGTAAAATAAATAAGCGAGAAAACAAACCATACTATGCCTACTGCACCTGCCAACAGATGCTATGCCCGTATGTAAATCATATAATATCCATTTGCAAAGCACAGAACGTGCCAGAGAAAAAAAAACGATTATTTATATTGAATAGTTCAAAACCAAATTCACTAGACGTTCACCTACTAATACCAAGAGTATTCCGACAAAGGCCAAATATTCTCAGAGTGGACAAATTTTCACGGCCATGTAAGCTCCAGTGTTAATCGATGACGGAACTGTCTAGTCACTGGACTGTAGTGGGTGTTCTATACAAGTACGATACGTTTTAGTGGGCAGAAACATTAATACACACAATATTTAATACAATTTTTTTTTACATATTATTCTTATTATAAATCGAAAACTATAGTACTAAATCAGTCCTTGTTTTATAATACGGTACGAGTTTATGCGAAATACGATGCATTTTAGAAACTCCGCAGGCAAATGCGCGGCACAGACTTCAGAATAGTTTCGTCATCATAGTTATTGAGTATCGAGAATTGAAAACCTGACGCGCTATTTGATCAGTTTCTACGGCGTATCGCAGAAATACATTCAGAACTGTAAATGCGAACCATTAAAATCGCCAGGACTACTCTTATACAAATCTTCATTTTCCATATGTGACCAACTAATAACAATCATAAATTTTAAATAAAGTGTAACAACAATGATTAAATAGAAGCACGCAGTGCAAAAATGATTTAGTGATTCACTACAATATTTAAACGCCGTGCCGCGAGTTAATCTGTTTTATGAGACAATAAACGATAATTAAGTACTCCACGTGACGAAAGAAGAAATAATAGTGCTTTGTTTAAATTTTACGCATTTCATTATTCCGAACTACACAACATCAACATTAGAGGTGGAAGGTGGACCGGGTTCACCCACGTGTTGCCTGTTTAATCAACAAACAAAGATCAGGAAACAATGACTAGGTTAGTAGGCCTGACGACACTGACAAAAACATTGCGTTCATATCATAAATTCGTATAATTTAATCGTTCAACATGCATTGGCATAAACATCAAGGTCGACATGTCAGGAAGCTTCGTGAAGATTATTAAGCTAGGAAAGAGATACAAGACTTATCATATTCAACCGATATGTTTTACTACACGTCCACTGTGTGGATAACAAAGGACAATTAAACATTATTTGTTACAGTCATTGAGTGCGTCACACGTAGTGTTTATGTCCTTTCTAAAAATCTTTTTTTGAAACTTCATGCACGTTTTCTTATATATTTTCTGGCACATCGCACCGTAAATGCAAATAATGATTTCGAGCAGCTCAATATTTTAACATTTCAATAAGTATAATATCATCACTCACGAATAATGACCACACAACAAGAATAAATGTAACATTGATTATATTCTCCATACATTAGGAAAGGTTATGAAATATGTTGAAAAGCTGTAAAATGACGTCATCCCAAAGTTGGATTGACGCATTAAGATACCCCCGCCATGTTATTCGTAAACGAGACCCATCTCGTATCTTCCATGAAATTAAACTAACACGCTTTCTAATAATAAGGAAAACCCGCCTAAAAGCGTTACGGCTAACTTCGATCAGGTTCGATGTTCACCTACATACATAATTTTCTAGTATATTCAGTGGTCTCATACAAAAAATATGTAGTTCTTTAAATAAAGAAAATCGCATGTGGTCAGCAATAAATTCAGTCACCCCTAGTTCAACTAAGATATCTTCATTAATTGTTATGAGCCAATTATGAAGTCCTGAGTTTATTAATATTTCACATACTTCACGATTTGCACTGTACAGAGGTTATACTAAAAATATAATTGTTTAATCAAGCAATATTTGATTTATTGCCATTAATGTGTAACTAAATACAAATAGTTTTGCTCTGTATTTTGTCGAATTAATTTTTACATGAAGATAATTTAAAATAATTTTAATATTTTAAGTCGCCTCGAAAAAGAAACAACAAGTGGATTTTAAAAACAAGTATATGGGCCTTTCTCTACTAACAGGAAAATCATAGTCCAAGCATTTTTTTTGACTTTGGCTATATTAATGCACAGTTTTATTTATTAAAACACATAATATATGACCGGTTATTTAAGGAGCCAAGCTTAATCAATATTTAGAATCATAATAATTTCATAAATTCGGTCTAAAAGCCACTAAAAACAGTCCTCTGTTATGTCCTAATTCCCGATCGAGTATGATTCAGTTCGGTTTTTATTAGTTGTATTTAAAAATGCAAAATCTTATAACTCTATAAACATGAAGAATACTGAATGCATGTAAACAAAAAACAATTATAATTTTAGATAATTTTTTAATACCAAAAACTAGTGTTCGAATTTTGTCCAATACATTTTTGAACAGTCCTCTGTCACAATTTGAATATCACGCCACAAAAATATTAAACACTATTGTGCTTACATTTCCCTTGAAATCGGACGTTAACAGTGTGAAGTTTGTTCGGTCGCCATGCTAAAAAAGTCGCCGACATTTTGCGCAGTGAAAACTCCACGTCTGTATGGGAGCCACGTCTCTGTAGTGTTGAGTGAACATTCCTCTGGTAAGTCTATTTTACGGTGTTTTATGTGTTAAAATTATATTTATTTAACAAAAAAATTGCTTAGTTTGATAATTTATAGCTGTTTCTGTGTTATGAAGTAATATTTTAACTGATACGTGGTATGACATTTTTCAGGTAAAATTACAGTCCTCTGTGCAACAGTCCTCTGGAAATTTATAACACAGAGGACTGCTCAATGTGACAGAGGACTGTTTTATTTGACGTCCGTGTATTTTATTAATATTCTTTATAGTCTGCACTAACCTACTGCTTGTCGATAGCCTCCTTCTTTCTTACAATAAACAAACGTGACTCGTGCCTCTGTATAAAGCACGCAAACATCGATCTATAACTGTCAGCATTGCACAGGCGAAGAATACAAAAGTCACAATGCACTGCTTGAAAAGAGATGTTGTAATCGCTATGACGAGCTATGTTTGTCGCGAACCTGCCAACGCTGTATTGACAAGAATCCTGACGACAGGGAGTTTGTTGACAGCAAGCCTATTGAATTTAAAAATGGATATCCGAGAAACAAACTTACAACCCCAAGACCAAGAATGCTCGAACAGTTACCAAATACCTAAAGAAAACGTTCACGGTTCGCCCTCGAGAACTAATAGAAGAGCTGCACGAGGATTTGGAAGCCTATTATCAACACGAAAGAAACATTACCCATCAATACAATGCTATCAAGAAATACAAACAAAACCAAAACCGGCGAAGACGCTATTATACATATTGATTTTTCAGAAAATTATTGTTCAAAATACGGTCAAGAAATACAAGCATTTCATTTTGGAGGGTCAAGACTTCAGCTAAGTCTTCATACTGTGGTAGTGTATACCAAAAACTCTATTAAGTCTTATTGTACTGTTTCCAAAAATCTTACACATTCACCAGCTGCTGTATGGGCACATTTGCGGCCAATCATTAAAACTCTCCCACATAACATAAAGAGCATCCATTTCATCAGCGATGGACCCGTAACTCAATACAGAAACAGAACGATGTTTTACATCCTGGCATCAAGGCTTCAACAAGAAGTTTTAAATGTGAAGAAGTTTACGTGGAACTATTCAGAGAGTGGTCATGGCAAAGGGGCCCCTGATAGCATTGGAGCGACCTGCAAGAGAACCGCTGATGCCGTCGTCGCGACAGGTGGTGATATTGATAGCTTGGAATCATTTGTAGAGGCCATTCAACGAAGATGTTCCGCAATTACCTTGATCACAATCGACGATAAAGCCATCCAAGAATTGACAGAAGACCTTCAAAATGATACAGTTGATTTAAAAAGCTTTAATGGCACTTTAAAAATTCATCAAGTAAAGGCTGAAATAATAAGAAGTCCTCTGATATCAGCTCCAAGTGCCACTAAACTCATAATGAAAAGTTTAAGTTGCACTTGTGAAGGCGAGTGCCAGCATTTCAATTTAGGAGTATTACAGTACAAAAACAAGACAAAACTTAACGTAGATGATATTTACACAGACTCTGAATGGACAACTCACAGGATTCCACAATGGAGACCGACGACGATGCTGCACTGGCTGGACCTAGTTCAATCAACCAACAGAATTACACCATCGGTGATTACGTCTTGGTTAAATTTCTAGTAAGAAACACTGAATATTGTTATGCTGCAGTAATCAACAAAATAGACACGGAAGAAGGTGAACTAACAGTAACTTTCCTAAAATTTGTGATGACAAAGGACACACATTCAGAGTCGATGAAAATGATGTTTCTGATGTGTCCTTTGACCAAGTATTAAAGAAGTTGCCAAACCCAGATATTGCCCTGAAAGGGAAACTAATATTTTATTATTTTAATATACCTGTACCTGTTTTTGACAAATAAGTCTGCGTTGATAAGTAAACAAGGCTGATTCTTAGTACCTAAGCTTAATTTTGATTATAATTATTTTAATTCGTTACTTAGAGAGCTAAACTCGCAATTTGTTCGTGAAGAATATGTATAAGTATTTAAATTCTGTATGTGATACAGTATTCAATAAAGAAGAGGATTTATTTGATTACATTTAATAATTAATATTGTGTTTTTCTTAATATAAACATTGACATAAACTGTTCTCTGGGTGGAAAAAACAGTCCTCTGGGTGGCAAAACAGTCCTCTGCCGCACTTTTTTATAAAATTGCCTATAGTTCGAAAAATAAGAGAAAATTACAATGGTTTTTTGTTTATATGTATTTATATTATAACTATCTATCGACTTTACATAATATATTTTTAATTTTCTACAAAAACAGGGTTAGGACAATTGTCAATAGACAAGTTTCCAGTTAGTAGAGAAAGGCCCATATAATAAATTTTAATGTAGGTAAATAAAGATACAAATTTGATTTAAATGAGCAGATTTTTATGATAATACGTAGCTCGGTGGCGTAGTGGATAAGCGCCGCGGCCCGCCATCGTAGTTGTTAAGCAACTTTCGCAAGGGTCGGTCACGGGATGGGTGACCAAAAAATTATTATCTCGAGCTACTCCGTGCTTCGGAAGGCACGTTAAGCCGTTGGTCCCGGCTGCATTTGCAGTCGTTAATACCCTCCAATCCGCATTGGGCCAGCGTGGAGGGTCATGGCCCATCCTCCTTAACCATCCATAAGGAAGGCCTGAGCCCCTGCAGTGGGGACGTAAAAAGGCTGGTGATGACTTAATAACAAAATATTAAAGTCTAAATAAATAGGAGTCGATTGATTCACAATGATCTAGATTTATGTAACAAAAACAATGTGTAAGTTTATGAAAAAAAAGTAACGACACTCCCAAAACCACATAAAACGTTTTACTCTTTCAACAGTACTAAATATTGTAACACACTCACAAATCGCGTATTATTTTACCTGATATTGTAAGTCTTATCAGAAGCACACAGTACACGTCACAAGCGCAGGATTATACGTATTTGCTCAAATTAATCGCCATCTTAAATAATCATTATGATTACTATATTTGATCAATTTTGCATTCACAATGCTATATTGAAAAATATTCTTAATGAAAAATGCTAAAAAAATCCACTTTGTTGCTTGCACTCTGAGATGGGATTCGAACACATGATCTTTCGCAATCCGGCGACTGCTCTAAACACTGAGCTACCCAAGACCTATTTATTATTATTATTTATTGTTCTAGCGACTACAGTTCCCTGAGCAACTGTAGTCACTACGACATTAAAACTCCTTTAGGCCGGTAGACCTCAAAAAGTCTATAATATTCCTGGCATTTAGAGATTTTATATCTTCTGGGCTGATTACATGTCGTCCCAGATGGAGATGTTTTGGGGTTTCATGAAAAATAGGTGCCTGTTTAATTTGCAGTGTCCAGATAAAGTTCGTACAATTATCTATATTTGCTCTGTTTAGCTTCAAGGGCTCTTCATTCAGTTTTTAAGAATGACCTTAATTTAGGGATTTAACGTGATTTAATCCCGGCTGTTTTTGCCAGTATTTTTTTGAATCCCTTTGCAGGTAACTCTTTAGAATTTACATTACATGGTTTTTTGGGATACCACAAAAGGGCTCTGGTCCTATTTGTAGTCCCTGTGCTCCAGTCCTTGCTAATCCATCCGCTTTTTCATTGCCGATGATGCCCGAGTGTCCTGGTACCAATTTAAGAATAATTTTATTCTTTTGCCCCAGTTCATTCAATCTGTCAATACAGTCCTTTACCAGTTTCGAATTTATCACGCTCGAATGTATGGCATTGAGTGAGTACCCAGGACCTAATAGGACTGACGAATTTTTCAAGCGCTTGTTACTTTTTCGCGACTACAGAGCGTATCTTCATTAATGTTCAGACAATCAACCAAAACAACCGAGAGAAATGTTAAATTTATCACATTCATGTTTTATTATTTACTAAGTCACTGTTAGTGGGGTAAGAAATAGCCTAAATCTTAATTGATCCGTATACCAAATTTCATTAAAATTCGTTCAGTAGTTTTTATTTGAAAGAGTAACTAACATACATTCATAGATACAAACCTTTGTATCATCATATATTCGATGTATTGTATCTATCGAGTTTTGTTATAATATTATTATAATACGAAATAAGGCCATAATGGAGATACTACTGAAATAAAGTTTGAATTTTGACGTCGAGATCTACTCTAATACCTACTCTTCGTTGTTTTTCATCTAGCGGCGAGTAATTGCACCTTCTAGTTGCAGTCGCAGGAAACAATGATAAATTTATGCAGAATTTAAATTAGTCGTAAACGAGAGGTGGACACAAGTTGAATGATTAAAAAATAGAGCTCCTGAGACTACTGTGTAATATCTGTAAGCAGTATGTTTCTAAACATCTGTATTAATTTCACTTCTAAAACCTAGTACAATAGTAGATTTACTTTTAAAATTGCTTTATATTCTAAAACATTTGAATCATAAAAACTGTAGGCATAAGGATATTTCTCAAACTGGAAACATGCTGTTTTTCGACTGCGGCGCTAGTATATAATATGATGCCTCTTAAACGTATGTTTTCCCAGATTCACAAACACTAGAACACACTAATTACTCATTTTCTACATAAATGCCATGATAAAAGTGAATTATTTCCTCAACACAACCGCTATTAACTACATAATCTGCAGCTAATTGCAAACTTGACACTGTCATTGTAAAAATATGTGGTCCGCCTGTAGAAATAGTGGCTACTCTGCTCTTAATTTTACCACGCACAGTACGGACGTCACTCGAATGATGAAATACATTAACTACAATTATTGTCGACGTGTCCACAAACGAAACCATGCAGGAAAATGACTAGTCACATGCCAATGATTATATCTACGATTTGTGACTAGCTAGCGATATAAACTAATACGCAAAAGAATGTGCATTTCACAATATTTAAACTAGTCCATAATAAATAAACAGTAACGTGGGAGCACGGATATTTTTTAAGAGGACGCGTAAACCAAATATCACTTGCTTTTGTTTTGTACAAAAAAATAACGACCAATAACTGTAAGTAAAATAAGAAATCTACATCATATATGGGCCTATTATTATAGTGGGAATTATTTTTGTAGATGTTTTTTAATACAAAGTTACCAATTTCACAATTCTGTTAAATTCTTATCATAAATTGGCAAACAAATATGTGCGTCACTATTACCGAGGACTTTACCGAGAGCTTTGACAACAATCGTAATAGTATGAGAGAAATTAAAAAAGTTTTTGAGGTGCAATACGTCCTCAATCCCATCTACATCATTCATCGGGCATGTTGATTTCATCTCGTTAACTCTTTTGTCTTTACGCCCTGAGGTCAGTTCCTCGAGCAACGTATAATTTGTAATATAGAATGTAAAATTACCTTGAAGCAGACTGAACAAAGGCCATCTGTCGACGGGTTGCCGTAGAATCCGCACCCGGACCGGCACAGCGCTTCCATAGGATTAGATTCACGCTCCATTGTTCCACAATAATTTCACTTTGATATAACAACAAGAGTACAACAATTCACTTGTAGTCAAAGTACGATTGCACTTATAGTATATTGCACTTGATATCGTAACACAGTTCACAATGATCACTGTACAATGTACTTGGAACGTTTCAATTTAGATGCGATTTATCTCTGGTTTGCTAAAACCGCGGTTAGTGGCTTCCCTTGCCAATGTAATCCAATAACTTCGTCTCTATGTCAGGAACGCTGAGGGATGATACCCTGGAACAAACACAAAAGATAACTTAATTTTTTTTTAAATCACCTTATTATTTGCTATTTGATTTCAATTTTATATTATGTACGTATGTGCTTATGTTATAATCAAATTATTTATATGCTAAGGTTTAAAAATTACATTTATCGCTATTCAATTCGTAAGCGTTAACATGCAAAATGATAAATTTTTAGAGACATGTTTTCATCAAAAACATAACCACGAAAAATTATATTTTAGGTAACAAAAAATTTGCCGACCAGTCCAGCTCACTGACTAGTCGATTTCTCTATTAAAAGTTAGATACCTAACTGTACACGCGTTTGCACGCGATTATTCCGATAGAAAGTGGAATCTAGGCGTGGAATACGATTTCGTCGAGGCAAAACATAATATGCATAACGACAGGTTTGCGTAACAAGAGAGAGCTATATTGCAGAAGTGGAACGAGTCCGCGAATCGGGGCACCCGCGCTCTACGCCCGCCCCGGACCAAGGCCGCAGCCGCCCGCCGACACTACGACCACAGACTACCGAGCGACGGCGACATACATATAACTATATTAAAAAACATACAAATAAAAACTATCCTAATAGCGCTCAGTCTAACATCTGAGAAACTTGAGGAAAATCAGTTAGCTCAAACTTAAAATCGAGATCTATCAAAGTATAAGAACATTTATTCGAATAAATTTGAAATCTTTTATTCAGTCTAGGCTATTCCAAACTATCTTGAAAGTCGAAACTCTATGCCATCGATTCCTAACTCTACGGCGGTAGACCTTGTACCGAAGAGGTAGAAGAACCATTAAGGAACTCGGTAAGGACTGCTCTTTTCTCCGTTTTATTTCATTTCATACAGATGTCAAGATTGATCTATCACGATAATATTATTTACTGTCCGAGCTATTATAATTAATGTATACATAATGGTTGACAAAACACGATTTATTCCCGAGTGCCACTCCTGGAGAGGTAGCAAACAGTTTAAATTCGTAGCATGTGGCCCCATTCAATGTTACTACATGCGTTTATTTTAGTACATACGTTATTTCTTCCATTTGCTTATCTTTAAATAAATATATTATTTATTACATATTATTATTTGGTACACATTAGTCTGAATAGCCTGTTGTTAATTGCCATTATTAGGACTTGATCTAGTATAGCGTCAAATTATAACTACCGACTGTAAGCATGAAGACAGAATAAGATTTATTTAATATTATTTTACCATTTTTTTTAAATGTATAATTGATCTGTGTAACCTACTGGCTGCATTTTCTACTTTATAAAATTTATGGTCACCTAATACCTACTACAATGATCCCGCATCCGATACTCCGTCATCCGATTAAAACCACAGAAATAAATTACATTATAATACACTGGAAGATTATTGATTCAAAGTATACAATATAATGTGCAACAAAGCCACGACGTCCTTTACTGAGTAATTGACCAAAATACGATCAATTTTAGTCATTTTATACTTAATAACCATTTTTAGTGTTGCTCAGTACAAACGAACCCATAATTGTCAAATTATCGGGATTATGATATCACAAATTATATCACTTGATTTTTATGAAAATGGAATTTCGGAAACTCCAGTTTATGCCGTATGTATACCAATGATTGCAAATTATTAGTGTCGGGAGTGGAGAACGTGCATCGCATCGGTCGGGGTCATTAGCACTGGACACGGACTCGGGAGAGTCATCGACCGGCCAGCACGCAGGGGTGGCAGAGGCCGGCGCCCGCGCACTCACACTTTATTGTTATAACTAGTGGACGCCCGCGACTTCGTCCGCGTGGAAGTCGGTATCCCGTGGGAGTGAGAAGTTTTCCCAGTAAAAAGTACCCTATGTGTTATTCTGATGTATAACCTATATTGCTGTAAAGTTTTATCCAAATCCGTCCAGTAGTTTTTTCGTGAAAGAGTAACAAACATCCATACATCCATACTTACAAACTTTCGCCTTTATAATATTAATAGGATAATACACGTGCTCATATACGACACAAAAGTACTTAACATCAAATCAACAGGTGACAGAAACAACAAAAATACCTTCATGAAATCAGTTTAAAAAAAATGGCTCACGTTATCGCTACTACGTCACGTTTTCTGTAAATAATTTTGTCAGTGTTTGATGTTATTTACGTATACTTATTTATTTTATTATGCATAAATCATTTCAAATATTTAATAAACCTCGTCCATAGAGCGAGACCTGTAATATCTCGGATTCAACAAAAACTAAACATGCCTTTTGCCTAAAATCATTCTTACGCAATAACTTCATACATCAAGCAAAATAATTTAAAAGCGTACAATATTGCAACTGTAAAAAGTATGCCAAGGCGACTACCATCATACATGCGTCCAGTCGGAAACGTGATGTTCAATTATAGCATATAACGAATAAGTAAAGTAATATATAACTAAACCCACCTAGCCAGATTAACAATATAGGGCCGAGATTAATAAACGTTAAACGTTACTAACCGTTTTTCAAAATATCCTCACGCAACCTATACAGTATCGATGATAAATTGAGAACTGCATCCGTTCGCGTTATTTTTATTTCGCAATCGTGTTCTACATTGTAGTTAGTTAATTTTACTGTTCTTGGATTTAAAAATATTACCAACACTCAATTGTAAATCACAACATTTATTGCTTATTTACAGTGATCAGTATATGGTCACATTAATGTATTGAAAATATCATTCAGTGTGGCGTTTTTATAGCATCACAATCACAAAGCTTCATAATAAAAATATTCTTTCCTGTAAAGAAAAACAAACGTTGTATTTGCATGGGATTTCAAGCACGCCAATGAATATATATTTTATTTATGTCTATTTTTACTTCGATGGTGGGAATCGAAAATTCTGAATAATAAAAATCTTACAAGTGTCCGTTTGAACAGATCTCTCAATAGTTTAGTACAAGATAAGATCTATGATAGATAATACGTCTAGTGTGTGGGTACTGTGGGACAAACGTTGGTCGTGTATGCGCCGTGCCCTCCTGACCCACTTGCCGAGTGTTCGCTACGCAATTTGAGCGCGACCCGCTTCGCCGCTGCACCGACTAACTCACACAACTAAAGATACGGACACATGTGCCAACCGTTGCACCAGGTTGCACCCTCTGTCATACACGTGTACAGATCTTAAACTTTGTATATAAAAAAACGTCAAATACCCGCCTTTACTCCACAACCGCGCCTCCACAGAGCACAACTTCTTTAAATAAACCATTTTCGATAGTGGTTTAATACGATATTTTAATCATATCAAACAATCATAGGTTACATAGAAAATAAAATTTAAATGCCGATAGAAATAACACCCAATATGTTACGTAGTAACAATAACAATTTATTTGTATGAATTTCCCTTTTGAACGCACCCTCAGTTTATATTAGTGTCATGAACATTTGAAAATATATTGGCCGATATCTAGGTCGTACTCCCACGGTCAAAATATAGGTCGACACAGCTAAACGTATTTGCAGAATCAAAATTTGGGTTTGATACGTTTCTTATAAAAACTTTATATATCGATCGAATGAATGCTGCTCGATTTTTCTCCAGATTGAAACGAAATCAAGTCTGACCACTCGATCAACGGTAGTAGTAACGGTACAAGGCGCAAAAGTCGTGCACTGAAATGAAAACTAAAAAAATAATAAAGATAACTGCAGACACTATTGCACCACACGTAAGAATGCTTTGCACGAGGAGTGCGCTTACTGAGATAAATAATATAACTGAAAATGTCCTAGAAACAATGTAAAGGAAGGCTCTTTTTGACTTTGTTATTTATTGGGAAATACTAATAAAAATGTAATCAATATCATCCTCAAAATACATTTAATAACAAAATTGGAAAATTTAGAAATCGTTTTTGTATGGATATTATCGCATGTTCGAAAATTTCTATAAATATGTAAAGACTGGAGGCTTTTAAATTTCAATAATAAGTAATAATATATACTAGTTTCATTTTCAAACTTCACTCAAAAATTACGACTAGATTACGATGTTAAAAAACTTCAATCATCAGAGGTAATAAAACGGATCGAGTCCTTAATATAAAACTCACATTAGGAGTCCTCATTCAGCCCATCAAAACATGGGCATCGTTTCCATACTCCAAAGAATCTTTCTACAGTATTACGAGTTGCAATATAAATGCACTGAAATTCGATTTAAAGTATTTTAATTAGTGGTTTAATGGACGCTACGGGCCAATTAAATTACCTCTAAATTGTCAAACTAATGAGTCCTTAGGGACTAATAAAGTTTTGTGCAACGTAAATCGTCTTCGACGTGACATTTCATTTCATTAAATTTAACGGAGTTTAAAAATCGATCTAAATGCGTTTAGATCAACAAGATATGACACATCTGTGTTTAATGTCGCCTTTAAAATTTCATTAACGTTTATGCAACCGAGCGACAGTGTGGTATTTATACAAATGTTGCTTAACAAACAAGAATCAAAATTAAAGAAATAATCGGACCTGCCCTGCGATTCTATAAAAATCCAAACCCAAATTTGAATGCTCTCGGTTAACCGCTAACCGCTCAATCTTGAGTTGGTAATGACGTTACGTGGCACAAGTAAAGTGAGTTATGAAATGACATAGGAATAGAATATCAGAGACATGTATAATAAATCAATTTTGTTTTGCATTTTTATACAAAAAATGGGATCAATAGAATTTTTACTTAATGACGTGACAGACACATGAAAGAAATCGAATACGGGTTTGCAATTTTACAGAATCGCAGGACAGTAAGCGTTGTATTGTATATTTACGATAATATTGTGTGTAGCTGAAATGCCAATCGCTTCACGACTCGCGACTTTTGTAAGACATTTTTCTAACTAGGCTTGTGAACTTTTTTATTGTATCCCAATCATTTGATAATGAGGCGTATTTGAACTCAAAAGCTTCAATTCATTAACGACCCGCAATATAGACTTACTAGACTTTATAGACTTAGTACACAAGCCAATGTTCAAGATTTCTCTTATCAACCAAACACAAAATAAATAATAAAAAGAGTATTACTAAACTAACTCTTAAAATATTAAATAACTATTACTCTAAATTATTTTTGCTATATCTATTTATTTTATAACATTCAATAATAAGCAAATAGATTAGGTAAATAAGTAGCTCGTTAGCGATAAGCGGTGTAGCCCGCGATCGTTGTTGTTAAGCAACTTGCGTAACGGTTGGTCTGGGATGGGAGACCAAAAAAATTATTACCTCAAGCTACATCGTGCTTCAGAAAGCTTAAGTCATTGGTCCCAGCAGTATTTGCAGTAATTACAGGAAGACTTTGTAAGTAATGTCGTGAATTCATATTTATCGTTTCGTCATTGTGCCCAAGCAACATTACTATTTTTTTACTTTCAACGTCAATATCATATAATGTATTAACAATTTATAAATTTTAAAAAATCATTTAATCATGAATTCTGCTACTTCTGCTCTAATCGAGACCAAATTCTAAAACATTACAATGAAAATAAATAAACTAGCGCCTGCGATCAAAGTGTCAGTATTATGCGTGTCTCTCGGTAGTAGGAAGACGCAATTTTCCAAAAATAGCTCGATCAGGGACGTAGCACATGGTTTCCGGCTGTCCGGCTGGTTTCACAATAAGGAAGCAAATTAAAGCTTACTTCTACAACGACATCCATATCGGTACAAACAATGCGAAAACGAGCCATCAACTAGGAAAGTACAATGACATAGCATTTGAAGGAAGAGCTTGCGTCACAAACGTGAACAATGACGCGGCGACAATCGGACACGCACAGCAAGATGGCCGAACGTGGCGTCAGCTGATCGCGCACACGCAGCGCAGCTGTGAACACCGCTCGGCTATATATTCCTCTCTCTTTCATTACCACCTATATCCACAAAGAACGCGCAATCATTGTTTGATGTACAACGTTCACAAAGCACATACAATAACACACATTGCTACTGAAGTATTAATTAGACACAAGTTGCGATTGTGAGGAATTAATGGGTATATGGAAACTGTGCGGCCTCAGTCTGATAACTATACTTAACAAAATCCATAAACAACTTTATAAATAATGCCAACTACGTATTTATAACATTTTACCAAATTATACGTATTCCTAACAACAAAAGAAATTCAATATAATTTCAACACTAATGCGCAATAACATGACAAACACAGTTCAGATACCTACATAAGCGTATGGACGAAAACAGATAACTTGTTTTCTTTTGTTGAACAAAAATAACTGATTCTACTAAATCATTATAATATAATATCACCTTTACTTAAGAGCTGTTCCCACGACTTCGCCCGCGTAAATTATAGCATCTCACACGCGTATGGTGTAGCTTCACGAAGGTGAAAGAATTTTTAAAGTCAGTCCAGTAGTTTCGAGCGTTTTCGGTGCAAATAAGCGATCAAATGTTTCCTCTTTATAATATTAGTATAGACTATTAGCAAGTATTGCTTTCACATGTTAAGTTAGTATTTATCTTTGAAAAAATATTTGAAATAAAAACAATCGTGGCAATAACAACTGAGTTATCAAACTGGACTCAAACCAGCGTCGTTTCGCTTACCACGCGTGTTCGCTTCAAATTGCTAACACCTTTGTTTCTGATAGGAAATAAATAAACAACCGTTATCCTCATTTTTAATTTACATACGTAAATTCAGTAGTACAGATGTAACAAAGAAGAACTCTAAACTTAACAATTTTATAATACCCACGCATATTACATTTACTGTAAGAAAAAAGCATCCACGCTTTTGAAAAAATAATAAAGCATGAATGCTTGAAAATAGCAACGTTTTTGGGTTATGTATTTATAACCTATCTTTAACAGCTGATAACAAACAACAAACGTATAAATTATCAAAACAATATATAATTTTAGAATTGAATAGTACGGCATAGATCCCGGAGAGGGTTGATTATTTAATAACAAACGGAATTAAAATTGCGCCATTCATAGGGACGTTAACCTTCTGGCACCAAGGTCAGACGGCGGCGGCCTTCAAACAGCCTCGTCTAGCTGGGCCCACAGGCTCTTGCCGAGCAACAGATCTCACGACGCAAACGCACACAAAAACATACACAACACTACGAACGAATATTACCTTTGAGTGGTAACGCGAGCCCATGGCCACGTAGAAACTACGCTTCGAAGCGTCTCACAACTCACAGAACTAGTGATATCACAGACACATTAAAGGTAATTATGGAATAATGCGCACACTAATTCACACTATTATCTGACTGAACAGATAAGGTGCGTTAGTCGCACGTCACACTTGATGTTGAAAACGATTTGATAAATGCGTTCGCGAGTGACGGCCTCGCGGTGTAGCGAGCTCCGGCGCGCTCGACGTAATATTGAGAACTGGCAGAGTATAGTCGAGCCGAGCTGAGCAGCGGTCCGCGGTCGCCTCGTCCGCCTGCAACTATTCGCGTCATTCCGCTTCACACGCGCACGCACTCACCAATACAAACAAACCACTCGATGTCCGCGCCCTGATAAACACATGGCCGCCCCGCGACGGACATCGGACATCTCAACAGCACACAATAAAACGCTGCTCAATTCATATCACACGAATTTACATACTACCCATTGACACCATTATCTTTGAACTTCGTCAAAATACCTATCCTACGCACATTGGTCACGAGTAAGTCAAATGAAATTATTTAGAAGCGTAAAAGAAACGAGGAAATCGTTCGATTGGTGAGTCATCATAAAGAAAAATATTTTACAAAAACTAAGCTCATATTTTTTATCAGATATAAGAAAAACGTAGGAGGTAAAGGAAGTATTTTACTTGTTTTGGTGGAAAAAATATGTTATACACGTCAGTTATACAGATTATTTACATCAATAATACTTGTATTATTTTAATACAATTCAGTCTTTTACACAGGAAAATCGAAGTGCCCCGAGTGCAATAGACTTTAACTACGAATTTCAGATAACAAATTCGTAGTTATAGTCTATTGCACTCAGGGATGAAAGTGAAAACTAAGGTCAATATTCGAATATCGAAGGCCGTTCAACTTAAGAACAAGTAAACAAGTAGGTAACCGTTCACAGACTATCCCTCTGACTGAACAAATCAACGACGTCATGTTGTAGATTACTTCAACTCGTATGTATTCCTTTGTAGATGGATAATTATGAAAGGTCAGAAAGACAAAGCGTGATGGTGAGGCGTGAAACAGCGACATCCACGAGTCAGACAAAGCAGCGGGCGGCGGCGGGAGTCGTCGCTCTCCCCCGAATTAGTCCTGGGCTGGGGCGCTGACCTCGTTGCACGTCGCGCCGCCCGCCAGCCGCGTCATGCCGCGCGCTCCCGACTCGTGCCCATCTCACGACACTTTCTACGCACTACGCATCATCGCATACTTATCCTTACACAAAACCTCTAACGCTCATTAACAATGACTATACGGTACAACAACAACAACTTGTAGACAAGATAGACAAAAACTGATTGACAATAACTCGCCCGTCCCAACAAAGAATGATTTACACAGATTTTAAAATAAATACTCAAAGATCCTCATTACCCATCAATTAAGTAATTTATGAATTTAAATGCAGAATATTTAGTCTTTTGTTAAGAAACAAATTTTAACTAAAATTAAGAAACTGAATTAACATAGATTGAGAAACAATTGTAATAGCACTGGTGATAACTAATGGCACCTAGTTTATACATATAATTAAATAGTAATGATTAAATACTTACACATATTTAATTGTCTATTTATTTGTGGTTAAACATGTTTTTATTATTAAGTAATAGAAATGAAAAGTATGTCTTGCTCAACAATTTTTTGGATGCAAACAATACATATAAGTTTCTCGAAATGCCTTGTAAATTTATCAACCTTGTGTTGGGCAATAGTTCAAAACATACTTAAGGCCTTCCAAAGAATCATGTCCACTTTCCATACACTGACTTTCACATGTTTTTTTTTTAAAGGTCGCGTCTACCCACCTTTTGTGATAATTTAAATTAGTTTTTACTTTAAATAGAATAATAGCGTTTTTTCATTTGGAGGCTAGGGAGATTTGTTAATAATGTTTTGAGATTATAACAGCTGTCAAAACTTTAGATAATTGTGAAGCTACTTTAAAAATTAATGCATTAAAATCCAAGCTTTTAATAGTTTGACTCACAAATATAGAAATAAATGTGAATGTAATTGTTAATGTGACAAACATATATTTTTTCTCATAGTTAAGGAAATTAAACATAGCAAACCATCATTGGGTCCAAATTTCAAATAATAAATCATTTAAAAATAATTATCAGCCTTCAATTTGTTCCTATCTTTTCATTAAGATTTAATTGCCAGATATGAAATAAGTAAAAAATAAGCTATTTTTTAGATAGATCACATTGGACAAATTCTTTAAAATTCAACAATTTTCAAATGAAGTTTATAGTTTGGCACTCCAAGTCTTACTTATTAATGAATTGTATTATATCATAATTTATAACTCCATTACTTGTTGTTATAATACATAAAAATGAAAACTTGTTTGATAGATTTTATATTTATTTACTTTAGTCTCCACAACACATACAGGTTAACTGGCAGAGAATGCTTAAGGCACTAAGTCTGCCTTTGTATACCTGCATAAAGAATTAAATAGATAAATTACCTAGTTATACTGAAAAAAATTTAAAGTTAGGAAACCATAAATATCAATTTTATTTTATTTTCTTTTCTTTACCTATCTAAGAGGACAAACCTGGTGTTGGAAGAGTGAGTTCCGTACCAGACAAATGTCTTTCCAAGTACGCAAGCCTTTCAGTTCACAACCAGGCGACACCACGTCTGTGCGGTTGAGGTCAGCATCCACCGGCATCACAATGAATGGTAACACTACCTGTAGACAATATCACACTAAACATTACAAAATTGATAATATCAGGAGTTATATTTATTTTAAAGAATACACCCTAAATCTAACATTGACAAAAAATAAAAACTACAAATAAAAGTGCAAGGCAGACCAGTGCACAGTGCATAAAGCCCTACTTAAATATATTTTTTATTATACCTGACTATCACAGTTCAAGAGATACAGCCTTGTGTCAGAGAAACAAACAATGGAGTCTTAGTAATAGGGTCTTATTTTTACATTTTGGGTAGGAAATCCTAAAATAAAGTGATAATTACTTAAATAATTAAATAAATAAAGTGATATTACACATGCTACTCATTCAGCTTTTCCTAAGTTTATAATAACAACTAACTAATAGTAAAGTTACTAAAATATATAATGAAAGTATTTTCTATAAAACTATGGGAACCATCCATTGTTTTTAAACAATATTAACTACATAGTGATGTAGAGGACACTTATAAACATATTCTACAACTTGTTTATTCCCTTTTGAGTAACTATTTTTGAGTTCGTAATATTGGCAATAAGTCTTCATTTTGGTGATTTGCTTTGTTTTCACCACGATAATAAAGCTAAACATAAAACTGAGCTATAATTATAAACCACAAAGAAAAGAAAATAAATAATGAAATGATAAAAGGGTAGATTAACAAATTTAAAGTCACCAGAATTGAATGTGAATGGAGTACATAATTGAGTAAAATAATATATAGATAATTGGGTAAGATAGGAAGTATATATTTGAATAAAATAATATTCATATCAAAAAAACATAATACCTGCAAAAACCAATAATGAACAAAACAATAAATAGATATGTGATAGGACTTGTATTTTTCAAGTAAAGGTAAACACAAAGCACTATAATAAATGGAGGCATAGTTATACAAATTCAAAAATTGGTATTCAAAAGTATTTTAATGTTAAGAGTAATTAAAAATAAATGACAATATCTAATTGTACCAGCAATCGAATAATATCAAGTTTAGTAATAATAGCTATTATCTTTCAATAAGTAACAATCATTAATGGAAATTTTTAATGTTCGTGGCAAGACTCACCACCACGTTGATTTCAATACACACACATAACAGGAAGTGATCTTTGAAAACGTTGTCCATCAATTAAAACAGGTAACCAAAGGAAATAAAAGGAATTACATTAACTCAGTGAAGTGAGGAGTGAGCTTGCACAAATTTAGGTTGATGCGGATGATGAAACTATGATGATACGCCTTCCAAGGCAATATTACAAAAAAAATGCGTATCGAATAATGGTACAATTAAATGGCCATAGAAAAGCTAAAAAATGCTACATACATGTAATTTTCAACTTGCAAACATGCATTTAACTCTTGAGTGCTATCCGTCTAGTTGATATGATCCCGTTGATCAACAGAAACAAAGAAAATATTGAAGAATTTAGTAATTGGCATTCACGAAGAAAATGGCGTCATATCACTAGTCACGGAACAAGGTACAATTTCGTAGTAAAAAGCACAGCACTTAACCACATCAAAACACCACAAAAAATAAAGACATGCTATTATAAATGTATCTTTTCGCTATAAGTACTCACTTTGAATAAAAATTCCAAAGAAAATCATCCAAAAACTCAAAGGACTGATGACAAGGCACTCCACTCACCGTTTGCAAAACCAGACTAATATCACGTGACCTATGAAGTTGCCAGCTTTAAAAAAATACCTGATTAATCTTTCCGTCTATTTGGTTATTTAACACAAACTTCTTGGTTTTAAACCACATTATTTAATTGGATATTAACCATATTGATTTCTTGTTTCATTTATGGACATTAACCGACAAGGAACTTGCTTTTACTTAGTGAATATGGACATTAGGATTATAGATAAGTTATATTTTTATCTTGATCATCCTTAGTATATTTGTACTATATAATATAAAATACATATTCCTCGATTTATTTTTCCATATTACGATCCCACCTTGGATACTAGATACTATAATCTTTTCACGTATTTCTCTATAAGATAAAGATAAGATAAATAAAAAACAAATATGTTTTTAAAAAAAAGGTTAAGTTCATTTGACTCATTGTGCTGGCAACAAATTAACCAGTATTTAAATTTGGCTATGGTTTAATTTGGCATCAAAAAAGAAATAGCGGGTTAACAACTGGTTAATATTTTAACTATAGTCAAGTTAACAAATGGTGAAATGACATTTGACTACGGATAAAAAACTAGCCCTTAGTGCTTTCTTTTTTTTTAATACTTCCTCATTCCTGAACGCCACGGAAATAGTGTTTAGCATTTCAGATGTATGTACATCAGTTGGATGATATGATAGTTTTTATTTTCTTGATAACGATTTTTTGGTTACCTATTTTAAATCGATATGGGTTTCTATTCGCATCGTATTCATAGATAATACATGATGCTATATATCTGTGGCTGTATCCTTCTCATTGGGAGTAGGGATGATCAATTTTAGAAGAACATCGATGTTGACATCGATGTCATCATCGTAAGCCCAACATCGATGTCCGGTATTTATCGAAAACTGAACATCAATGTTGGAAAACATCGATGATTTTTTGCAATAATAAACAAAGAAATAAAATACAGTGTATCTTTCGGAATTAATTAAGAAACTGAAATAAACATTACATATTCCAATATTTTATATCAACTGATTGAAGGAAAACTAATTTTGATAAGGAAGAACCTTTTAATCTGTTTCTTTATTGATAAAGAGTAGAGCCAACTTTTCTAAACATGAATGTAAAAATTCAAGATATGTATATATTACATACACAAAAATTCAGTTTTTTTTTATCAAAATTTCGATGTTTTTGGTAATATCGAATAATTTAAATTGATATTAATATTATCGAATACTAAATATTGCATTGGTCTTGTTAACATCGATGTTAAGACATTGATTTTTTGTTTACATAAAGATAGCGCGAGTGTAATTATGGCCCTTATGAATTATGAATTGTTTAGTAAAATTTTAAACCAAAGAGCGCTGGAGTCGAAAGATTTATTTTTAACTTCTTTGGAAAATGCAAGCAAAGAAAAAACTATTTGTTTGGCTACTCCAGTTAGGAGTGCAACCGATGGTATATAGTTGAAACAGTTGAAGTTGATATATGAGATCATCTAGCTATTATATTTAGAGCACGTAAGATGACCCTAAGGATATTTTATTCATAAACATCGATGTTTGGCTAGAAAACATCGATGTGCCGATGTTATCGAACTTAAAACATCGATGACAAAACATCGATATTTTCTAGCTAAACATCGATGTTTATTAAACATCGATGAATATCGACCATCCCTAATTTTGAGTTGTTTTCTTCTCATTGACACAATTTTGTACAACAGACAATGGCTGTATGGGCTAAGCTCTCTTCGCCTTTCCTTTAAGGAAAAAATCTACCAAAAAAAAAAATCTCATTGACACTGACGTGCGGACGAACAATTATTTTTTTGCCAGGTTATCAAACGTGTGCTAATTAATAGGCTATTTATTGTAACAAACGATTCTTTTGACTAAAAAGTTTTAAATATGCCCACAATTTCAGTAAAACGTGACGTTTTATTTGCCGCATTGGGCAAGAAATACAGTAAGTTTTTAAGTTTATTTAAATCTTTAAGTTAATTTAAAGTAATTGAAAAAATCTAAAATATTTATATTTCAGGTGATGAAGAATTTCAAGATCTATGTTTTGAATTCGGCCTGGAATTGGATGAAGTTGTAAGTCTCAAACAAATCAACTCTCAATTCAAATATGATAGAGATGCGATGTGATCTTGAGTAAATATTTGCAATTTAGGTTTAAAAAGATTGGAATCACTGTATATAGATAAAAACCGCATTTAAATCTAGTGTTTAATTTAAAAGATTGGAGAAAAAAAGTGAAAAGTGACTTTTTTCTATACTATGTATTATTCATGAGATTGCTAATAACACTTCATTGTTTTTTTGTCAATGTTTTATTTACCTTGTACAAAAAAAAATGTACACTATTTAATCATATGATTAGTTCTTTAATGATACTTGTTTATTTGTAATTACTATATTTATCCTTTCATTAAGTTATAATTATTTAGTTTAAAAGACTCCAACTTTTTATTTATATTACAGACAACAGAAAAGCAGATGTTAATGAAGGAGCAAGGAACACATGCAGGCACTGGAGTTTCAGAAGAAATTTTATATCGTATAGATATCCCAGCTAATCGGTATGACTTGCTCTGCCTGGAAGGATTAGTAAATGGAATTCTTGTATTTCAAGGAAAGTATGTATACTAATCAATTACCTATATCTTCATTAGTGAGATAGAATTGTTTTATGTCAATAGAATTTGATAATAATTGCATCTGTATATGTAATAATAAAAATGTATAATAATAAAAAAATGTATATGTAATAAGAAACAGTAAAGTTCTGAACAAAATTAAGTTAAGTATTATGGTTTTCTTCACTTCTAATAGTTTGCTTCAAAAATATGCTGTGTCATTACACAATGTAGATAAGTAATTTCTTTACTCGAAGTCTCATAGTAATAAAAAAGCGGAAACTTAGTAACCCCCGAAATCTGAAATGTTCGCCAAAGTTAAAAATATTTTGGGGGGTTACTATGTTTCCACTTTTTTACGTCTTTATGTTCTATTTTCGATGCCCTCAATGTATCTTTTATCATTATAGCTATTAAGAATCACACTCGAAAACATTTCAGGAAGGCCCCCCCACAATACAAGTTAACTAAACATGAAGATTGTCACTCACTTCATCTCACATCTGCTACGTCACAAATTAGGCCGTATGCAGTAGCAGCAGTATTAAAAGGGGTCACTTTCACTAAACAGTCTTATGACAGTTTCATAGACTTACAGGTGAGAATATGGATAAATTGCGTTCCTTAATCATAAAACAGAATCAGTTTATTATGACTTTGTTTGCATAAATTGCATTGCTAAATTTGGTTTTCATATAAAGTCAAATTTTATAAAGTTTGTTACAATGACTATGCTTAAATTGACATGTGAGTAGCTTGGTGGAGTAGTCGGTAAGCGCCGCGACCCGCGATCTTTGTTAAGCAACTTTCGCAAGGGTCGTTCTCGTGATGGGTGACCAAAAAAATATTATCTCGAGCTACTCCGTGCTACATAAGTCTCGTTTAGTCGTTGGTCCTTGCTGCATTACCAGTCGTTAATACCCTCCAATCCGCATAGGGCCAGCGTGGAGGTTCATGGCCTTAACCATTCATAAGGAAGGCCTGAGACCCTGCAGTGGGGATGTAAAGGGGCTGATGATACTGATTATATTGTCACTTATTATGACATAAAAATCTTATTTGGTTATAGTGACTTACATGAATCCTAACACTTTGTTTTTGTGGCACTTCTCACCCCTTTCTAACAATATGAAACTATTCTGTTATGTACAATAATATATTTTAATTGGCTGATTTTATTTCTATTAAATAAAATGTACCTAATAAAAACTGTAAGTTGGTCATTTTCTAAGAATGGGTTCATATTTCGTATAGCTTCCGATCAGTATAATGTGTCATTTCCCTTTATTTCGATTATAAATGGATTTCACTGTACAAGATGTTGTATGTATACAAGTATTTATGTTCACCCAAAATAATTTATAGTATAGGTGTACCAGAATCTGGAAGCATTTCAGGAAATTTTAATTTATAGAAGGCAAATTTTGGGAAAAAGGATATACCTTTACATTCCAATCCAATATCTAATATTTTGATGGTGCTGCACCTGCCCCAGAAAAAAACGCAATAATATTTTACCTGACTTGGAATCTAACAGGAATAAATAAAAGACGCTTTACTTTATGTATTTCTTTATTGCTAATCTTTACTAATATTGCAAGTGGTTATGGTTGCGGTAACAAAAAAATATATATCCAAACGAATGAATTTGTGGGAAAATAAATGTGAATGTCTTTGGGTCACTATTAATATTGGCAATTTTGAGACCTCACCTCAAATAACTCTTTGCGCAATCTATTTGCCGCCTCCAGTGCGCCTGCCTATTCTTGAGCATTTCATAGAAGGTTGTAACTTTGTATTTGAAAATTGTAGGAGTGAGGAATTTGTCTTAATAGGAGATTTTAATTTGGGTGCAATTAATTGGGATAGAAGTGTTATCAATAATGTCAGCTTACCTGCTGTATGTCAAAGTATACTTGACTTCATTGATGTTAACAAATTAAATCAACTTAACAATATTAAAAATATTTCGGGGCGTACGCTAGATTTAGTGCTTTCTTCAACATCATTGCTTGTTGATTTATGTGAATCGGTTGATCCTTTAAGTATCAAGGATAAACTACATCCACCTTTAGACATGTCTCTATACTTAAAAAAAGAGCATAAACTTCCGTATGATACGTCATTCGCAAGACCTAACTTTTACAAAGCTAATTATAGTCAAATATGTGAACTTTTAGGCGAATATGACTGGGCGTCACTTTTTGAGGGGCTCGACGTTGATTACATGGTTAATATGTTATATGAAGTTCTGACAAGTGTTATCCGCAATAATGTCCCACTTCACAAGCAGAAATCTAACCGATACCCTCAATGGTTTAATAAGGAATTAATTCGTTCACTTAAAGAAAAAAATAATCTTAGATGTCGTTATAAAAAATACAGGAATCCAATGGATAAGATACAACTTAAATTAATTAGTAAACGTTGTAAAAAGTTAGCAACTACTTTATATAATAGTTATTTGAAAAAGACAGAGGAAGCCATTAAAGAAAATCCCAAATTGTTATGGACCCATATAAAAAATAAAAGGGGTGGCACTGGCGTTTGCCCTCGTTCTATAACGGATGGACGGATTATGTCATCCAATAGTGCGGAGATTTCAAACTTATTTGCGAACTTTTTTTCTTCAGTGTATTCAATTAATAGTAGTGATGATAGTTATGACCACCGCCTGCTTAAGTATCTGCCAAGTAATACCGAGTGCCTTACTATACCTAAATTTGATGTAGAATCTGTAGGAAAGAAACTAAAAAGCATTGATTGTAAGAAAGGTGCCGGTCCTGATGATATACCACCCATTTTCATCTCATCATGCGCGTCAGCCCTGGCACTTCCAATAACTATCATATATAACAAATCGATAACATCAGGAACTTTTCCAACTGTGTGGAAGCAAGCCAGAGTTGTACCCATACATAAATCTGGAAATGACGATCTCGTTAATAATTATCGCCCCATTTCCATTCTTTCCACTTTTGCAAAAATATTTGAATCTTTGCTTTGTCCTTATATACACCAGCATCTCAAACTCTATATTAGTGATCAGCAGCATGGTTTTGTTGGGCGCCGATCTACAGCAACCAATCTTTTAAATTTCACAGAATCTTTAATACGTTCGGTAGACTCCAGCAAGCAGTATGACGTCATTTATACAGACTTCACAAAAGCTTTCGATAAGATTTCCCACAGTCTATTGATCCATAAATTGTCTGCATACGGTATCAATGACTCTCTGCTCTCATGGTTCTGTTCTTACTTGAACAATCGCTCTTTTAGGGTTGTCGTAAACGGTTCTCAATCTACTAGCCGTGTTATTACTTCTGGTGTTCCTCAGGGGTCACATTTGGGCCCTATTTTATTTAGTATTTTTATAAATGATGCTGCTAAAAACTTTAAATTCTCGGAGGTCTTTATGTATGCGGATGATATAAAATTTGCACGAGAGATCGAATCGGAGAATGATATGAAACTTCTGCAAGCGGATTTGGATTGCTTAATTGAATGGTGTTGTATAAACAAAATGTATTTAAATCCAAACAAATGTTTCCATATGAAATTTACACGAAAACACAACCCATTATATTGTGAGTATCATATAAGTGGAAACAAAATACAAGAAGTAGAGACAATTAGAGATCTGGGTGTTCTTTTCGATAAAAAAGTAACCTTTATACCTCAAATAGACAACATAGTCAGCAAAGCATCCAGGGCATTAGGATTTGTTATAAGGAATACCAAAGATTTCCATCATGCTGCTACTAAAATCTTAATTTACAACAGTCTAGTGAGAAGTATATTGGAATATTGCAGTGTGGTGTGGAGACCACATTACGCCACACACACTTTGCGCTTAGAGCGGATACAGAAACGTTTCCTTTGGCACCTCTCTTTCTCGACGCATAAGACTACACAGCTAAAATCGTATATTTCTAGATTGCAATTCTTTAGGATGGACTCACTAGCATTACGCAGAGATCTCTTGGACATGCTTTTTCTTTACAAACTAATGAGAGGTAAAATTGACAATTCTAAATTACTGAGTTATTTCCGATTTCGAGCCCCATCAAGAATCCCGCGTAGTCGTATCACACCTCTATGTCCTCCCTTAAGAAAAACAGTATTGGGTTTAAATTCGCTGGTTGTCAGACTTTCTAAAACTTTTAATTCCTGTAGCGATTTACTTGATTTACATTTTGACTCTTACTCCACATACCACAAAAATGTTCTAGATTTTCTAAAATATAATAGCAAATAAAATTAGTATATATATATAATATATATATATGTATGTATGTGTATGTGTATGTGTATGTGTGTGTGTATGTGTATATGTATGTATTTATATGGCTTATTACGTATGTGATAATATATTTTGAACATATAAGTCTGTAATGAATAACTAAATAGATATTGTAAGCTCATTATGCATGCGGAGCTAACCTTTAAGTGCCTGTTGCAATAAGTCGGAAAAAAATAAGAATTAATGTTATCAATAGTATGTATCATTGTAAACAGATGTTGGTTAGTCAAATAAATAAATAAATAAATAAAAGTGCTGTTGTGCTTATACATTTAAAACAAATCTGCTTTAGTTTATTTTCTTCTTTTCTCAGTTCCTTTTTTACCCGGTAGAAAAATGACATCATATCTCCTTCACTAATTTGTTTTAATGTAGTAGTCAACATCCCAATATACGAATTAATTCTTTAAAAAAAATTCTACCTATTCATAAACACACTTTAAAACCAAATAATTTCATCAATCTTCAGCTTATTTTCACAAATTTAGTTATAAACATTAAAAACAATATCTCGCATGAGATATCAATGGCTTTTTGGCCATTTCACAAAATAAATTAATATTTTCTCAAATATTTACAAAAATGTACACTTTGACTTGACAGTTGCCAACAGTAGACAATTTATATTGCGTTCTTTTGCCATCAGATTCTGGTACACCTCTATCAGTAATACACAGTATCTCTATAGTAATTATACATAGTCGATTAAATTAGTCTAATCAAACAGCCCTGGATTTCTTGTAGGACAAATTACATCAGAACATCTGCAGGAAACGAGCACTGGTTGCCATTGGAACACATGACCTGGATAGTATACAGGGTCCTTTTCAGTATGATGCACTCCCTCCAAATGAGATCAAATTTAAGGCACTCAACCAGGAAAAGGAAATGACTGCTCTCGAACTCATGGAATTATATTCGGTAATATAATTGTCTGATAAGGTACACATTTATAATGAATAAATTTTAATAAAATTTCAGCAACAATTACCTGTTTACCCTATCATTGCTTCTAACAATACTGCATAAGTCGAAAGGAATCTGATGTTTTAAATGTTGGTGGATCCATTTTTTCGGCATGCATACAATAGAGATGACGACTCATTTTCGTTTGTTTGACCGACAGGTAGATTGTTGAAAAATATGAAACATGTATTTTTTTTTTGTTTTTCGTAATCATTATATTATGGCGATATATTGAGTGAAAATGTCACATGTCACGACGTCACGCTTTGGTACATTGTCGACAAAACTGTGACGTGACGAGCCCCCACTCCTCAACTTCAATGCATGTAATATAAGCTATTTCTTGTTAAATTGAAGTAAAAAAAAAAAACTTATCTAATTTCTATTATGTTACTTTTGGATTAAATAGAATTTCTTTTTTTTTACCAAGGTATCATCCATATGACTTAAAAAATTTTATTATTCAATCACAGTATGTTCAATAAGTACTCAGCTCGTATTTTTGTTGCATTATTATTGCAAACGCACATGAAATGAATCCAATAAACTGCGTTTATTGTGCGCTCGTTTTAAACTATAACGTCATATTTCTAATGGATTAAAGCTAACTTGTTAATTCATTACCGTTTTCTAAATATTAACCTATTATCACTAACAAAATGTAACTTGCAGCATATTGTTGTATAAACACTGTTATGTAATTCATACCCAGAGATCTACATCTGTAAAAAAATTGTGTATTGGTAATCAGTGGTAACCAATATTTGTGTATTTTAATTCAATTAACAAAATAAGATTCATAGGGAGGCCTATGCTCAGCAGTGGGCGTCTTACGGCTGAAAAGGAAATGTTAGCACGATAATCATTTACTATACAGTAATTGTTTATAGTTCACCGTAGAACACGCTAATTTGCTCTGTATCCTTTACTGTAGCTGTTATTTCTATGGATTATTATAATGCAATATTAGTGGATTTTTCCAGCACCATGCTCAACTAAAACAATATCTGCCTATAATAAGGGACAGCCCTGTATACCCGGTGATAAAAGATAAGAATGGTGTAGTGCTCTCTATGCCGCCCATCATCAACGGCGATCATTCCAAGATCACATTGAACACTAGGAATGTTTTCATCGAGGCAACAGCTACAGATTTAACTAAGGTAAATGAAAAAGAAAATATTTATTTTGCAAGGCAAACTTGCGTACTTACAAACACGTAGGAATAGGATAATGTATTTATTATATGTATCAGTAGTAGCATAATGGTACGTATTATAGGGTTGCGACCTAACTATAACTGGAGCCATAGAATACGACATATTAACGATGTTACGGCGACATTTCATTTCATAAGATATCGTATCGTATGCCTGTATGGAATAATGGTTGAAGAGTTAGACGGTCGCACCCACAGATAACCTCCAATAGATACCGTATGATGACTATTTTGTTAGAAAAATAAAGACGCCAATCTTAGCGGTGGGGAAAATGGCGGCCGAGGTAACCGCAGCGACGCTATTGGCTAGTACAAAGACATATAATGTTGTGATGGGAACCATAACGTGTTAAAAGAATCTCGATAATTGATCGATATTAAATGATAATATTAGATGTTATTAAAAATATATTTTATTAATTTTATTTTTATTTAAACCATAATTTAAAGCACAATAAACTAATTGATGGACAAGACATCCAACGGCAAGGCTTCAGTGAGCGCGTTCACTTAGTCACTAACTTTCAAAAATCGATTTTGTACAAAGAAGTTTAAATAAGTTGTAATTAAAAATTGGAGAACAACATCAAATTTTAGATAGTCAATCACAACCAAAACGTGAATTTATAACACCGTTAGAAAAAAAAATATTTTTCCTAAAAATTACCATTTTTACATTTCTATTTACCTGCTACACTTTCTAATTAAAAGCTATGATTAAATGCACTGAGACACAAAACATACATAACAATAAAAATAAAAGGGGCACTGCGTTCATATAAAAATATTAAGTTGTATTTTCAAAAAACAAAGTGTGCCAGAGTGCCAGATACGAAGTGGATCATTGAAGCATTTTTTACTAAGAATAATTTTCAGCTTTATGAACGCAAAACTCAACAAGATTTTATTTGTGCGCGTAACGTAAATAATAATGTTATTCAAATATTTTATAAAATTATTATTAACGTTTTAGTTAGTTAGTTTTTTTATTATATTATTATTTTTTACTGTTTAGTTTTCTCAATGTATGTTGTTGTTCTCATTAAGAATTTAAAGAGCCCAAACACGATGCAGTTGCGTTATTTCATTGCTAAGTTCACTTTCCTACTTCATCATCATATCAGCTTACTGACACCATAATATTAAAATGTCATCTGACTTATATGGCTATACAAAATTTCAAATATATCGGACATTGGGATGTGGGTCAAATTCGAGTTCGAAGATTTCAGCACTAACTAACATACATACTAACCAGGCGAGTTAAATAAAAGCTTGTAAAAAGGGGTCAGTTTGGTAAAAGTTGCAAACTGCACTGTTAAATAACGAACAAGTATTTAAATAGGATGAAAATTATCAATGAAATCTAAAAGTACATAGTTTCTGAAATATCTTAAACTTGTTAAAATGGGCTGTAGGTAAATGACAAAAATTGTTTATTAACCTCGGAGTATTTTTGTGTACTAATTTTCGCACTTAGTAGTAATTTTCCTGTAACAGTAAAAATACGCATGCAGTAGCGATACTAGTGTTACACGTGTCTTTGTCAGATTAAATAAATATACTTATTTGGCAATGAGAGAAAGGAATGGGTTTCAAGAAGACATCAACGCGTGCTGTATTTTTGTAAAGTTACCTTTAATTGTCCACAATAATTAGAACTCTGCGAGTTAAAAATACAAATAAAATTTATCTTCCTAGTGAAAAATTAAACCATCTTTCTTGCAGTAAAATGTTTTGGAGTTTTTCCACACCATTTAGCACTACAACTTGCCATGGTTAACCAAATAACTACTTCATTATAAAGAATTTAAGAATTTACAGATCGAACACTTGGTTTCAACTGAGAATTCGCATACGTGTATTAATTACTACTTTTATTAACACTATGTATGCAGAATCATAGATGCTTGGCTACAGCTTGCTGTGTTTCATGCGGCATCTATTGGAGGTTATCTGTGGTCGCACCCCAGGGCCTCGATTCTTCAATGAGGTTTCAATAATTGGGTAATTAAGTAATTAAATAATTTGGTTTCCACTGCATCATTAACATAACGCCAAGCATTATTAATATATTTTGATGAATTTATAGTAATATTATTTTGTTATTATATTGCATTGAAAAAATCTAGTGAACAAACAAACTTTTTCAGACTTTTATCAGGATTATTCATTTCCTTCTTACATCTTAAATTGCGTCAATGTTATATTATTGGAATAAAACTACTCTTTCTAATGATAAATTTAAAAAAAGAAACCTACACATAGTTCATTCTCTACTTTACTTTTTGCTCACTACTAAAAGCTATTTACTACATGTGCTAGTGGTGCAATCTGACCGAGAACCAAAACGCAGGCGACCATGATGGATCATCGTGTGACGTCACATTTCAATAAACTAAATATCAAACATTTGTTGCTAGGGCTACCAGTACTCATTTTAATTTAAATTAGACGTCACTGCTCGAAATGTCACGTTACAATTTAAAGAAATGAATAAAAAAATATTTTTACTTTATTTAATAAGGTTGGGAGAAAAATAAATCTGTAAATGGTTTAGAATGATCATATGAAAGTAAAATACATTTTCTAAGACTATCAATTATCCAATTATATAGCACTGTTCTCAGCTACTAATCATTAATAAAGTGTTACAATGTTTTCGTTGTAGAACTTCAAATTGATATAATTATATTTCGTTTCTAGGCAATAATAGTTCTAGACACGATAGTGTGCATGTTCTCTCAGTACTGTGCAAAACCTTATGAAGTGCAACAGTGCAAGGTGTTTGCCCCTGACGGCACGTATGAGTTGTATCCCAAGATGGAATACAGGGAGGAATACATAGACGTTAATAAAGCTAACAGATACATCGGTATAAGGTAATAATGTTTACCATAAACTAGCTGTTTTCCCGCGCAAATTATAGCGCGACAACCGCGTATGATGTAGCTTACCTTAGGTGGAAGAATTTTCATGATCCTATCGAAAACTTTACGTGAACTGTACTTTCGGAAACTATTATGAGTATAAATAATTAAAAATTAAAAATATTTGTTGCAGTGTGTTAAAGTTATTAATGACCACTCCAAACAAGTATGGAAAATCATAAAGAACACAAGAAGCCTTTGCAATTATAAGAAAATTATGCTTTGATTATGCCTTTAGGGTCAGCCTTGGCTCTAAAAGCAAAACAGAAAACGAGACGAAATCCACGGGTCAGTCAATGATATAGACGAAGGATGACGTATTACGTGTCAAAAAAGTGCTACGTAAAGGCCTCGGCTACAAAGTAGCTTACATATTTTTCGTTCCCCATCCATAAAAGAGTATAATTATGAGAAGAAATGTCAAAAAGGTGAATTTTAGAGATAGTTTTGTAACTTAAGGCTTGTGAGATTTCTTTTATCTATACTAATCTTTAAGAAGGAAAATTTGATTGTTTGCGCATTTGCATTGAAAAGGCTCCGTTTTACACTGAAAAAACTACTATACTGCTTTTAAAAATTCTTTCACCTAGGGGCACCTTCATCATATGCAGGTAACGTAGGCTATTACTGGAGCTAATAAATTACAGAGTATGTTTTACATGACGTTTTTTAACAAATCTATTTTACGCAGTTTGTATTTTCAAATAATTAAAATCATGTTTATAAAAAATATTATGGCTCTGTGTATATTAGACATTTACTTAAATTTGCATATTAAAACACAATTAAATTTTTATATCCATAATTACTAAAACCTAAACCTCTAAAAATTTATCGTTTTCTTATTCGTTACAATATCAATACTTGTAATGGAAATTGGAATGTTTTAGTGAAATCGTTTTAATCAAAATATGTATTCGGAAATATTTATTTTAAATATTGTTCTTATGTTGAAAATATCTGTTATGCAGTGAGCCCGAGGAGAGGGTGGCATCGTTATTGTCCCGCATGTGCCTTACAGCGGGGGCGGGGGAGGGGGGCGGCCTGCGCGTGCGCGTGCCTCCCACGCGGCATGACGTCATACACGCATGCGACCTCTACGAGGATATCGCCATCGCATACGGGTACTATATCTACACTCAAAACTCATCTCATAATACCTAACAAAACACAGCGGAAACATTTGCTGTTATCATTCCCTCTAATTGGTAATGCGCCTGGCCGCCATTTTGGTGTCGTAATCAGGGCTTGGAAACCGGTTAATTTTTTGAACCGGTTCGACGTAAGTACATGCACAACTTTACATAAAAGGTTCAGCTCCTTTGAACAGGTTTTTAAAATAGTTCACTAGAAATACGGTTTTCTTCATTAACTGGTTTAAATATGATTCAGACAATGATCTCACAAACTTCAGCGCGGTTTTTAAGTGCCTTTACTCCTATACTATAACACTATAACATCCGTATACTATACTATAACATCCGTACACAGGTATGATAAATGCCATCGCTTAAAAATGATATAATTCGCATTAAAAGCGTAAGAATATTGCTTTTTACGAACCAAACGAATTAACCAGTTTTTATTCCATCCAAATTTCACTCCACATTCAGTTCCGATCCGGAACGGAACATTATAAGAGAACAGGTTTTACCTAAATAAAAACTGTTTATTTTGAACCGGTTTCAAGCCCTGGTCCTAATCTATTGACAGTTATCAACACTCAGTACCCTTAACAAATAAACACAAGTTGACGAGTACACGAGTTATTGAGTTGGATTGGGATTGTTGTTTACGATTGTTATTGTTAAGTTTTGTTGTTACTTGATATGACCGACTAAAATAGCAGCTGCTATTATAATTTTCCACAATAAGTAAACCTGATTTCTTATGTCTCTCATTTCATAATTACTTTTGGCGATGTTTTAAAAATCGCCCTCTACACTGGTTATTGCTTTATTTTTTTAACCACGCAAAATGTTTTATTTCATATTTTTTTGTCTTTCTTATTCCACAATATTGACATATAAATTGACGTTATCCGAAATTGTTTTTTTCACTCTTTGAATTCAATTTTTTTTCATGTGGAATTGGTATTCATTAACAGTGTTATTAATAAACAAGGTTTAGCGTTGAAGTAAAGTTACGTTGAGATTGCACCTAGTTTTAGTCAAAATTTATATTATTTATCAGAGTAATATTTACTCCTAGAAGGTTTGCTTATTCTCTGTATAATATAAATTTGGACCAATAATAAAATTGCAATTTTACCGTAAACTTACTCTGACGCTAAAACTTATTTATTAATAGCACTGTAAGTATTTCGTTTTATGTTTTTCGTAGTATGTGTATGTATGTAATGCAAAGTAAATTCATCAGTTAGATAATAGAAAAATATTATATATGTATTTTTTTGCTTCAATTTAAGAAGAAATAGCTTAGATAACAGGCATCAAAGTTGAGAGGTGGGGGTTCGCTACGTCACAATTTTGTAGAAAATGTACCAAAGCGAGAGAGACGTCATGCGACATTTTAACTCAATGTATCGCCTTGATTTAATGATTACGAAAATAATTAAAAAATACGTGTTTAACATTTTTCTACAATCTACCTGACGGACAAACAAATAAAATTAACGTCTTAGGCGATTTTTGCTTGCAAATAAAATGCCATCCGTGATTAGCCTGCTTGTTAAAGCCAATAGCGTCTTTAGGTAGTGTTGTCATTAAAAATAATACAGAAATAAATAAGGTTTATGAACGACTCAGTATTCCCGAGATTGCCTTGTTGTATAAGCTACAAAACAAATGTGTATAAAAAACCATGCTATATTGGTTACAAAAGCTAGTTTTATCTGAATTTACCATTCTATAAAAACTTTATTACCGTAAGCATTGTTAAATTTATTATTTATTCCAAATATATGTACGAGTATATTATTATTCACTTTCAATATAACATACGCCTAATCAATAGTGTATTCTACTTCGTTTGAAAAAATACTTGTAAGTGTTTATTTCAATTTAAAAAGACAAAAAAATATAAACACGTTTTATTGACTCAAAATTTAAACTTATTTATTCCCAAGGAAACGCTCTCTGTCATATTCATGACGTCATTGTGATATGTACACAAAACAGATACATAGAGTAGAAGATTAAAAGATGTCATATATAAATAGAAAGCTAAGAACAGCGTCATCTAGGAATTTGATCTAATAATCTATAATATATAAAGCTTAATTAACACTCACTGACTCACTCCATGCTTTTTTCGGGTAGAAATTAATAGGTATATCTTTAAGAATAATCTAAAAGTTGTAGCCACATTGACATCACAAAATAGCGGGGCGAGTTTCAAATTACGTAACATACAGACAAAAAAATTACTATTTTTAATTTTATGATAATAAGACACTCGTGCGATTTTAAGACTCAAAATCAGAATCTCTGTGTTTATAACAATGTCAATTTTAGTTTTTGTGCAATTTCGTGATTAAATTTTCACTACCGAAACTACCCTATTGGTTTATTTACGTACGGTATACTTTCCCGCTAGCAGTAAACAAACTTCAGTAGGGCCTCCCGCGACTGGTGAGTCAAAAAACCGTATCCCACCTTCAGTAGGTTTAGGTTTTCACGTTATAAAATTTAAGTTATTGGTTTCGGTCAGGTATAATAATATAGAGAGGAGGACGCCGGCGGTGACGACGAGTAGTGCGCAAGAGCCACTCAACAAACTGACGGAGCAGTTGCGGCGCGAGTGCGCATGCGCCGCCTACACGGAGGCGCTCACATTCACTCTGGTCTGTATTAGCTACGTATGCAATGTACCACAGACTATATATATTCCAATAAACTACTAGAATAACTATTGTTCATTTTCTACATTGACCCGACTGGAAATCGAAGCCGGGACCTCAGAGATGGCGACACCTAGAAACCGACGTGCGAACCACTCGGCTACGGAGGTCGTCTTGAATAATTCACATTTCACTTGGTGTACATGTCCTCTTAAACCGAATCGTTTATGTTGACTTTTTTTTCAGTGTTCTCGCGATGATGTATCTACGAAATTGGGATTGAAAATCGAAGACGTGCCAGCGGCTCACATCTCTAATCCTAAGACGTTAGAGTTCCAAGTTGTCCGCACTACGCTGGTGAGCGGACTTCTGAAAACTATCGCTGCGAATAAGAAAATGCCTCTACCATTGAAACTGTTTGAACTTAGCGACGTCGTTATAATGGATCCAATCGCCGGTAATAAAAATATGTCAATTGCACACTCACATTTAATTATTTTTGCGTCGCAAATACGTAAAGCAAATGCTTTGGGTGTAATATTCGTAAATGATTATTTTTAAACATTCAGCGCTTTATTAAGAAGCGAGGTATTCACTTAGCCACAAAGCAAATTGATAGAAAATAACAAGAGTGAAAATGTCAAATTGAGACGTATTAACTTATTGTGGTCGGAAAATGTTTTAAACCTGCCCTGCGATTCTGTTAAAACCCAAACCCTAATACGGATTCAATCAGGTGTCAGAAATCACTACAAAAAGCGGCAATCGCTCAACCTTAAATTTTTAATTACGTTTTGTGGCATAAGTGAAGTGAGTTTCGAAATGACCTAGGAATATAATATCTGAGACACGTATATCTGATCAATTTTGTTTTGTATTTTTCATAAAAATTGTAATGAATAGATTTTCTATGACATGACACATGAGTGAAATCGAATTCGGGTCTGGATTTTTACCGAATGGTAGGGCTGATACTAAAGAAAATTCTCGTTTTATAATAAGACAGTTTCCATGTGAAAACAACACTTCGGAACAATATATGTACAAGTAATTTTCTACACATCTCAAATCACTATGGTTCACACTGTACCGATGGAATATTTATTTACTGCAGGCTTCGTTAATAATTTCCGGATCAAATTTGACGTCGAGTTTGAGGCTGTTTCGGGGTTATTTTCATAAGAGTGGTTGTGTATTGTTTTATATCATTGACATCATTAGGGTCCGTCCATAAATTACGTCACACAAAATTCATGATTTTTAACCCCCCCCCCCCCACTCTTCCTGTCACATGTTTATCTATACAAATTCTATCCCCCCCCCCCTCCTGACGTGTGACGTAATTTATGGATGGCCCCTTATGAAAGTTGCTTTATGCATTCAATCGAACAAAATAATTCTCAGGTTTAGGTTACATTTTAATTTCATACATTATTACTAAAATTTTATTACTGCAAACAGTTCACATTTCTTTACCTAGTCACAAACACAGTTAAAATGACAACCAATTTTTGGATCCAGCTCCACTAGGCACTAAAAATTATATTTGTTTTGTAATCTTTGACTTGATATCAATTAAACTGTTATACATGATAGCCGAAAGGGCTCTAAAAGAAAACAAATTTACACCCGCGACAATTTATGTAACACATATACGCAAGGATCGGAAGGAGTCCTTCTGCAACCGCTCTGGACGGGTATTGAAATCAGACTCACTTATAGTTCAATTACTTAAAAGTTCTGTAAAGAGGCTGCTCACTAAGCTCACAGCGGTCGCTAGCGTTTCCAATAAGCCTAACTACTAAAGGGGTGTAACAGAACTTTTTTTGAATAGAAATAACGTTGTCAATGAAAAAACTAGGAAGATCACCTAATATGTTTGTTTATAGAGAGCGGTGCTCGTAACGAGCGTCGGCTATGCGCCGTCTATTGCGGCAAAACTGCCGGCTTCCAATTTGTACACGGCCTTTTGGACCGCGTGATGGCGTTATTGAGACAACCCTGGGCTGCGGACGGATATACACTAAAGCAGTCTGATGGTATGTATCTGTTATGGTCCACGTGATAAATTGGACATTACACGACGCACGTTTTGAAAGTAAGTACCGTTTTGATATAAAAAAATCAACAAGTGAATTTTTCACACAAAACTTTATTTACCTGAAAGAGCATTCTTTCCTCTCCTCCTCTACATATTTCCCATTATTATTGAGGCACTTGTCGTATCTTGGGATCAGCTTTTGTATGCCGTCGTCAAAGAAGCTTGCCGCCAGACTGGACAACCACTGCTGCACAGACGTTTTTGCTTCTTCATCATTCGAATGACGCTTCCCCGCCAAATGCGTCTTCAAGTGCAGAAACAAATGGTAGTCGCTAAGCGCTAGATCGGGACTGTATGGTCCAATTGTTCCCAATGCCTTTAGCACAGAGAAAACGAATCACAGTCGGCGGCATTTTAAAATCACGTAAACAAATCAAATGGCGTCAAAATGCCGTCTGTGCATACACTACGCGCATGCGCTAAACGGCAACTGCAGCGCTGCGGCGACATAATTTAAAAACGGTACTTACTTTAAAAACATGCCTCGTACATTATGGAAAATGCCCAATATGAGAGAGCAATTTGATAATAATTTTTAAAATAATCAAATTGACCGAGCGTTATTAGATGAAACGAAACGTAGCAAATCGCATTCGGGTAGTCATCATAGTACGATTTAAAAATAATTATCAGCTTCGCAATTTTTATCCTATGTTAATATTTAATGATATGAAATAATGAATAAGCTACATTTTGAGATGTGTTTCATCATTAGACGGGTTAATATTTTTTTTTTGGTCAAAATTGGACATGATTCTTTGTTATCAAGAAAATTTTCAATGCATTAGTAGAGTTGTTACCATATTATGATGTACCGGTATCGTTAACCAACCTATGGATATAAGTATTTATCCTGTTTTAACTTTACCAGATAAGTAATTATGTTTTAGTTTCTAATGATATAATACGTTTCACAGATCCCGCGTATTTCCCTGGACGTTGTGCTGAAATATTGCTGAGAGGACGAGTGATCGGCAAACTGGGCGTGTTGCATCCGCAGGTGCTCGCCGCGTTCGACCTAGCCAATCCCTGCTCTGCCCTAGAATTCAATATTGAACCGTTCCTATAAGAATACTATGTTATATGAATTATAACTATTTAATAAAATATTGCGTTTATTTGTTATATTTATTTGTGAAAAACTTCCTTTTTAGAGTAAATATTCAACTATTTATGAATTTTGACAAAAGTATTATTATTTTAGAAAACATAACGAAATCAGAGGTGTCGTATTAATTGAATATTAGCAATCTTAGCCGTACTTACATTACGAATTTTAAATAAGTGGCCGAAAATCTGTTTCATTGTAATAGTTTCTGCAGTGTTAAAATGCACTGCACTTCTACTGAGACAATTAAAATTACTGATGACATTCCCTTACATTGCTACATTTTAGCAATTGCCTAAACTCCGTTGATTTCGTTTTACTGCTTGCTACCATGGCAGGATCCGTATTGACTGCTCGGTGCAACATCTCTGGTGGCGTTTTGGAGGGTGGCGTCTTATCTTTTCTTCTCTTTACTATTATCCATCACACACATGCTTTCATGTTTCTATCACATATACGATTAACAAATATACACTCGGGCATCATTTCTGTAACTCTCAGAAACAGTATCTGTTATTAATTAGAACCTATGGATTATTAGAAGTTCGAGTAACGCATATGGTATGACCGATAACCCTTCCAAGTCTCAAGGCGTAATAATAGGTAGTCCTCATTTCATTTCAAGGAGCGCTTTAACCAACACTCTACTGTAATGCTTGACGGTGCTATTATTCCATATGCCGAAATAGTAAAAAATCTTAGCGTTGTCTTCGATCTTCCCTAGTAACCCCAGCATGCGTAACATGACAAACTCGAGAACGTTTTGTCTACACTCAAATGTCACTTTTCTCGGGTACGCTCATAAAACATCTCACTCTTGATCCGAGAAAGTGACATTTGACTGTAGATAAAGCGTTTCTCGAGTTTGTACACATGCAAGTAGAGAGTGTTAGGAAAAAAGTATTTCCTGCGTATGGCTCTCTAGTAGCTCGATGGCGTAGTGGATAAGTGCCGCGGCCCGCGATCGTTGTTGTTAAGTAACTTTCGCAAGGGTCGCTCACGGGATGGGTGACCAAAAAATTATTATTATCTCAAACTACTCCGTGCTTCGGAAGGGACGTTAAGCCGTTGGTCCCGGCTGCATTTGCAGTCATTAATACCCTCCAATCCGCATTGGGCCAGCGTGGAGGGTCATGGCCAATCCTCCTTAACCATCCATAAGGAAGGCCTGGGCCCCTGCAGTGGGGACGTAAAAGGGCTGATGATGATGATAATGGCTCACTAAGTAAATTTTTGCCGACCGGTACCAAAGTCACTTAAGCGTATTTTCTTAATCTGTCCATAGTGATCACGCTGAAGTTTGCTTTACAGATCTGTCTGAGGAACTTCTCACCTAATTAGAGCATCTGCAGAATGCCTGTATCAGATTTATTTTTAACCTTCGTAAATTCGACCATGTGTCTCAATTCACTCCAAACAACTGGCTCCCTATTCGCCGGTGTAGGGACTTGCATACTCTAACACTTCTTTATTCCATACTTTTCCTGCTATTTACCCTATCTCAAGCAATACTTCACTTTTTACCACTCTGCATCCCATTTTTCATTGCGATAGTCTTCCAATCTTATCCTCTAGCTTCCTCACCATACAACTGACTTCTCTGTGCATACTGTACGTTTATGGAACTCTCTGCCGGAAACCATCGGGAAAGCTCATTTATTGTAAATATTTTGCGATCAAGTTGAAACTATTTCCTTTCTGGATCTTGAATAAATAATCAAATATATTTTATTTAATATATCTATTATACTCCCTTTATATTCCTTTTTTAAGATATATTTGTTCTTTCTTTTACATGTTGCACTTTTTACCTATTTTACTTTTATTTATTTATTTTCCTCCATGTTACCTGGAAGATGTTCCTATGTAGCAATAAGGCCGCCTTTTGTATACATTTTTTTTCTCATGCTGTGTAATTCGTTACTGGTCCTGTATTTGTGTATAATAAAGTTTATAGTAAACAATAGTTTCATAATAGTGGAGGAATTTCGTTCCATGAACAGAATATTTACTTGGCGAAACTAGTGATGCGATAGAATCTGAGCCGAGAAGGATGTGATCTTTTAAACCTCCTGCACAGTTTTCGTTAATTTTTAAGGTGTGTAACACATAGATAAAGGTAGGAATCAGAGCTTAAATTCTTACGTATAATAGGGATAGCGAAAATCTCTTTCTTTCGAAAATACACTTTATTTTCTATGGTGTATATGATACTAAATTAGTTTCATACAAACATATAACAACTATAAAATCACAATTGTTTTTGTTGTGTAGGCAATATACGTAAAGCATTGATATCTTATTATAGATGTTTATCTTTTTGCTGATATTACAATTGATAACTCGTTGTATTTTTCCTACTACATTGACTAAATATATTTACATTATTATAACAAATGTATAAATAATTTATACTGTTTTAAATACTTTACAGTTATTAAAAATATGATAAGGCACATCAGATTTAATTGACCATGTGAATTCAAAAGTACAAATCAAATCTTTGAATATTTCACTCGTCAATATTTAACAAGATGTCAACTTAATAAAATATAAAGGCACTAATCATGCAACCACTTGCCTTTGTCATAAGTAAATTTGTTTAAGTATCCAGTACATCAACATTACTGTACTTAATAATAAAGACAATTAGTTAACACATCCATCACAACACAACCTATAAACTAAATTGATTTAAAAAATTGCTTACTTTCAAACAATCATTACATTCATTTGTCATTTAGAGACAGTATCCAAAATACAATTTCTGAAACATGAATCATTGATGAAGGGTAATCTATCTATACTTTAATCAAGCAATAGCTGTATGTTGAATAGTTTTTCTAATTCTGATCTATTAAAATCAGGTGATATAATAAATGGGCAAAGATAAAATGAAAGTTCTTTAAGATTAGGTGCGCTCGTTTTGATAGCTTTAGCAACTTGCATATTAACATGGTGGCATCGTGATAAACTAAGGTATGTCAGATTATGAAAGATGTTATTTGAAAAATAAGCAAATAAAGCACTCGTTGAAAAATATGAATGTCGTAATTTTAGTGAATGCAAATTTTTTAATCTATAAAGATGCAACAAACTTGAATCAAACAGTGTTTTACATGTCATAATGTGGAGAACTTGTAAAAATTTACAATTAGAAATATATCTAATGATATCATCATTTAGTGTGTCCCCATAAACGTGTAATGCTCTTAATGTAGATTGCTTAGTTCGAAGTAATGACTCTAAGAAGTGTGCAGGGATATTTTTCATTTTTTCCATGTTGATACTAATTAAATTGGAACACTGCAACATACTATAAAGACTGTTATGAGTCAGTGCAAAATTTGATAATACAAGTGTCTCCAAATATTTCAATTTCTCGAATGGCAAATGATATACAAAATTCCCATTAACATTAGTAGGATTCTGCACTATTAAAGAATTGCGAAAACTCAAAAACTTCAGATTAGGCCAGTGTCCAAGATCATCAAAAATACAGCTGTCAACTTGTGATATACTTATCTCTAAGTGAGTCAGATTAGGGCAATAACTTATAAGGGAAGCTCTCACTTGAGGATATAGTTTGAAATATTGTAATTTTACATTTTTCAAATACTTTGCTACAAACGGTACAATACTTTCTTGTATTTTCACATAGTTCTTCATGCAAACAATGAGTCGAGTATTGTCCCAGACACATGGGGTCAGACAGAGTTGTTGCCACCGTGCACATACTTTAATAACACTCAGCAATGACTCAAAGTCGATCATAGAAAAAATATATATAAGTATCTCATTTGGCAAATCATTTATACTCAAATAATTGGTATTAAGTTGCACATCTGTCATCTCGAGGTGTACCATCCTCCAAAGAATTGATCCAAATTATTGTTGCCCTGTAAATAAAATAACAAAGTACCTAATGTTACAGACACTCACCGAATTAAAATTTACTGTTGTAATACAACTCAACTGAATAAGAAAATTCCATAGGTCACAGACCTTGAACATAAATTATTCATAAACACCTTGTAAAATTTAATTGTATATATTTTGACAATATATTTTCATTACCTGAGAATTAATTGGCTTCTTAAACGAGAAAATTTTACTTTTTGCTGTATAAAAATCATAATTCGGGCAAACTTTGTTCTAAATATAGTAACGGTTAATTATGGGAGAAATACTTTAATACTGCTAATAAATTGCTTCTGAATTGAATACATAATGTATTTTTCGATTATTTTAGGTTTTTAATGTGTTTATTTAAAAATAACTTCCATCTTTTTGGCTATTTTCGTAGTGTATGACATTATGTGTCATTTTTTTTTTACAGATTTTTTGACAATGACAGTCAGATGGCACGTTCAAAAATAAATTATCTATCTTTTTTTCCAAATAACCATAATAACAATATATCTAACAGATGTTATTAAAATTTACCATATAAAAGCCAAATACTTATTTTAAAACAAAACTGAGGCTATTCTTGAATTTTGAAACAAGATTAAAATCCAAATAATTAATAACGTGAACGACGTTGTAGTTACCACATATTTTAGGAACCGCGTAATAAGATCAACTTTTGGACAACATATACTTGAAATATTAAAATAAAATTTGCAACAACTGTTGTAGTCTTTTAACTATCTTGCTGGTGGTGTAGCCATACATGCTACCTATAAGTATTGTAGTAAAAGTAAAAGAGTAAAAGTTTGCCTGGAAATTTGTCATTATCAAATTTTTTTTAGACAATTGATAAGTATAGATAAATGTTTGATAACAAAAGTAATAATAAAGAATAAACAGAAGATTAACACAAGTAATTAAGTGAACTCAATGTCTTTTTGCATTTAATAAAATCTGAAATGACTGTTTGTGTCATAAACTCAAATAAATTAAAAAAAGTATTCTAAGGGAAAAATATTTCTGCTCAAAGAAACTACACCACGCGTATAAAATTATGCCTATATATAATACAGTCAACTGATCTCGTACAGTTCATTTAGCATATTAATTCTCCGCTTACACGGTACTAATTTCGATTTGTTTACAAAATAGCGCCACTAATTGGTCTATCACTGTAAATGTTTAAAGTTGTTTTTACAAAACTTCGAAAAAAAAATAGCACGTTTATAATTTTAAACATCAAGTACTAGACCATTATGAGTAATTTTATTCTTATGTCACAGATATTTTTAGCTATTGTATGTGAATAATGCTGTTCCTAAAGTTTTTACATCTGGTAGTAGTCATCTCATCCGATAGTAGTAAAAAAATGTTTTCGTCTTGCCATAATTTATTATGGTTTATGAAAAATAATCAGGTAATTATTTAGGTATCTTTCTACATCTTCGAACGCAATTACCGACGTTCCAAAAATCTCATCGTACCTAGCGTAAGTGACGTGTAGCTTCAAAAAGAGCTGCCCTACACTGCGCCGCTCCGATCAGGAAAAAAACGGACAAGTGCACAAGCTACCCATCCGGGTTTTTCATGTCATTCCGGACCGGAAAAAATCGGACTGCCGGATCTGAAAATTCAGTGTAGTGCACAAGCGCCCTATCTATGCTTGTTTGCTACTACATAGCATGCATAGTCTTCGATAATAATCGACCTCAGTAGCATACTTGTAAGATCATGCTCGTTCTAGCATGTCTGAGAAACAAATATTCATTAAACCATTCAAAATGGATTTTTCTTACGAAATCATGTGCAGAATGAATTAAATTCTTCAATGATGATACTTCTTTCTACACTAACAATAATAGAGATCACTTAATTTAATTCATTCCGTTCATTTCAGTAATGAAGCTTTGGTACCTACCTAGTATTCCCTTTCGTAATTTTGCTTTTAAAGTAATGAGCGAATATTCCACAAACATTCCTATACAGAAAGAAGGTAGAACATATAAATGGGTGAAATCGGTTATAATTTCCGGGGGCAAAGTCGCGGGAAAAAAAATAAGTACTACATTTTGATAAGAAGACGCCAGTGTTAGGGGAGCGTCAAAATCATGAATTAAAATACTTAAACACTTAAAAAAATATTTTCAAGTCTATGAACTACAATGGGACGAAAATCACTAAACTAAATTAAAGGAATGAAATCATATGTTGCATGGTGTAAGGGAGTTGTAGATCCATGCCTAATACTTGAATAGGTACCTACATAGGAATAAATTAAATGCATGAACTCAGCGCAACGAGTCATGTTTAAGTGTCACTTAAATAGGGATGACTGGGTAAAAAAAATGCAATTCTATTTAGTCCGTCAGTCAGATAATAGAAAAATACTAAATACGTATTTTTTTTTACTTCAATTTAACAAGAAATAGCTTAAATAACAGGCATTAAAGTTGAGGAGTGGGGGCTCGCTACGTCATAGTTGAGTAGAAAACGTACCATAACGTGACGTCATGCGAAATTTCAATTCTACGAGGGTCAAACTGAAAGTTCTTAGAAAATCAAAAACTGATTACATTAGCCAGTTATTAGTTTTATTATATCTTTTCAAAATATTGTCCATTCACGTCAATACACCGCTGCATGCGATGGAACCACTGGGAAAAGCACTTTGCCCACTCGTCCTTAGGGGTCTCTTCAATGGCATCGCGATACGCAGCCACCGCTTCTTCAGCATTCATAAACCGCTTTCCTTTAAGTTTTTCTTTAATTTTTGGAAATAAATAAAAATCACAAGGCGCGAGGTCGGGGCTATACGGCGGGTGACCCAGTAATTCAACGTTTGATGTCGCCAAATAGTCGATCGTTCGCTTGGCGGTGTGCGACGAGGCGTTGTCGTGGTGAAGGAGGATCCTACTTCGAGGTCGTTTCTCTCGAACTTTTTCCAAGACAAGTGGCAAACAATTGGTAGTGTACCATTCTGCAGAAACTGTTTTTTGATCCTCTAACACAATTGTTGCAAAATGACCTATCCTTCCAAAGAACGAGGCCACCATTTTTTTTCCCGCACTTCGATCTCTCTTCACTTTTGTTGGCAACTCCTCGAAAGGAAACACCCACTGAGCAGATTGTCTTTTGGTTTTAGGATCATAACAGTAAATCCAGCTTTCGTCACCTGTTAGTATGTCGAACACAGCATTTGAGTCACCTCCGTTAAATCTTTCAATCATTTTACGACACCAATCCACACGATGGAGTTTTTGAGCCTCAGTCAAATTATGAGGTATCCACCGGGCGCAAAGCTTCCTGACCGCTAAATGTTCGTGGAGGATTTTGTGCACTTGACTCATACCGATGCCTAAGCTTGTCCGAATCTGTTGATAGGTCACTCTTTTGTCAGTCTCTATCATACGCCGCACAACACAGATGTTATCTTCAGTCGTCGCCGTAGAAGGCCGTCCCTCACGTAAATCATCAGTGAGATTAGTGCGACCACGTTTAAACTCATTAAACCAGTTGTAAACAGTCGCACGAGATGGGGCTTCATCGTGAAAGGCCAATCGTAGTCTATCATAACTTTCTTGTTGACTTAAATGACATCGAAAGTCATAAAAAATCATTGCACGAAAATTTTCTCGTGTTAAATTCATGATGACGTGACACAGACAATTTTCAATTTGCCGCCAAATCGTAAAACAAATGACAAATGAATGAAATATATACTCAGTAATATTGGCAAAGAGTTATATGTTCAAATTTTAGAATTATTTTTTTATTATATTGTTTATAAGTGGCCAGTTCTAAGAACTTTCAGTTTGACCCTCGTATGTATCGCCGGTAATTTATGATTACGAAAAAAAAAAAGTGTTTAATATTTTTTTACACTCTACCTGACGGACAAACAAAATTAGTCATCATGCCTATTGATGCATCATAGTCATAGTCATAATATTTATTGCTCCATGTTGGTACATATGTTCTTACATATAAATGATCCTCAACATGTGTCCTGCAAGGACATTGCAACATACATTGCTTCACAAAATTACATATAAATTCAAGTTAAGTTAAATCAATTGTTATAATTTAGTTAACACAAAACAAAATAATTTTAAACAAAAACAATCCGTTAATTACAAGTTTCTTATCCAAGAATTCCGTTAAATTATAGTAGCATTGGCCTATTAAATATTTTTTAACTGTTTGTAAAATACTGCATTTATTTATATATCTTTAATGTATTTTGGTATTTTATTGTATATTTTTATCGACATATGTACCTGAACTTTCTAAGTGGAGATTTGTAAAAGGAATGAATGATTTATTTTTCATTTTAGTTTGTTACATTCAATTGCATTAAATTTTAATAAAATACGTAGGCATAGGTAAACAATTAAAATACTGGTGGTAAATATGTGGATGCGGGAGTAGAGACAGTGGTCGTAGGACCCGCTCCGGGTAGCGATACTGGGGGTAAATATTCAGAAGGTATTACTGGTGTTGAAGGTGGGCTCGATGTACGTCCTGGAGAAGTTCCGAGTGACGGAGACGAGGGCGGCAAATAACCACTATCTCCAGGTTTAACCGTCAAAACGTTGTTGGGGATAGGCTGCACGGTATTGGCCCCAGTTTGAATCGACACAGAACTCACTGTAGACCCGGGACTAGATGGTCTATTAACAGATACTCCAGCATTACTTGTTGATCCGCTGCCTGTCGACAATGGAGGTAGATATGAAGGGGCGTTAGTGGAAACGGTTCCTGTAACTTGAGTAGCTCCTGAATTGGGACTGATTGTATTGCAGTTATACCCTGACGTACATAAGCTACTTTCAGATCCAGTTGATACAGGATTCGGTGTCCCGTAATTGTAACCAGTGATGCCTGAAGTAGGTGATGACGATTGAGTTGATCCGGTGTTGGAACTGACTGTATTGCAATTATATCCTGACGCACATAAACCACTTTGAGAGCCAGTTGACACAGAATTCGATGTTCCGTAATTGTAACCAGTCATTCCTGAAGTAGATGATGACGCTTGAGTAGACCCTGTGTTGGAACTGACTGAATCGCAGTTATACCCTGACGTACATAAACCACTTTGTGGGCCAGGTGACCCAGGTCTTGGTGCTCCGTAATTGTAGCCAACTGTTCCTGAAGTAGATGATGACACTCCTATGTTTGCTGCTGCTATGGTTGCAGGCGCTAACGTTCCAGTACCTGCCGTCGTCGCGCCAGTCGTTGAAAAGCCTATATTGACTGTGTCATCTGGGCCTTTAGTTGGAGTTGGATATGCATAAAACATGTACTGTGATTGCGTTTTGTCAGAAGAAGGTACGACAGTCGCAACAGTTGATGGTCGTGTAGGTAAATCGAATGAAACACTTGGTTTATCGTAAACATATCCTTCTTGACGTTTTACTCGAATATTGTCAGGTTGCCATATTTTATTTACTCTTTTTTGGGCTATCACCGATAAAAGGCTAGTCTTGATCAATAGGAAGTGTATCAAAACAAACGTATACTTTTTTTTACCCATCTTAATAAAACGTCGAGAAAACAACAAACAAGGTAGATAAGTTATTTCATTATGAGAAACCAAAAAGTTATTTGACTATTACCTATTTATAACAATTGTGTGGAAGTACTTTACTTCTAAAAGGTTATGAAATCCTTCCATTGTCAACCCTGCAATAATGTAGGTGTAAAAATAGTCCTATCCTATCCTAACATTGTTAATATCTACCTTATATATATTTTTGTATAATTTAAGCGTTATTATATAGACTGATCCCATTTATTGCACTTAAACTCGATTACAAATAAAACATTAACCATTACACTCGAGCCATGGTCCATCACTGTATACGCTGTGATAATCCCTCAACACTATAACAACAACTCGCGATTATAAAGACAAAAGATAAACGAGACAAAATAAACGGATGAGGTAGATAGGGACAAAGGATGGCATAGTGCATTGCATGCCATCGTTTGTCCCTATATAAATTGCACAAAATCTATTTTTTATGAATTACCGGGAAACAATTACGATTATGCATGTTAAATACAGTTTTTCATTTTCATTTAAAATTTGGAAATTATTTCTGTGTACTAAACCAATTGAAACCTAGCGATTTTTGATATGCGAGTCAACTCAGCACGCCCTTATTGTAGAGTAAAATTTGGTTTTAGTCACAGTAGACAGTAGCAGTAAAAATCTTCTTCTATAAAATTAAATTTTTTATCTAAATTAATCACACTTATTTTGATTTTCATTTAAAACTTCAATATATCCAAATTCGTTTATGATCGAAGCGTTGAAAGGGTTACATTTAAGGTAGGTTAGAACTGCATAATGCGGTTTTATAAAATTACAAACTAGAAGATTAAATTTAAATTTGCCGTAGATACCAACGCTTACCTAGCATAGGTAATAAGTACTTTAAATATTTATTCAAACGAGGTTTGTCTCTTATTTTTGTTTTTATTTTGCCGTTCAAGATTTGCAAGTGCCTACCCACTTCCGCCTTTAAGTCTTGATTAGATACTTCCGCGAATGCGATGCTATCATGTTGCTAATAATATTGCGGTAAATTAAGGCTGCGCCTAAGTGTTATAATTACTCCCAAACCGTTTAATGTAAAAGATGTCAATCTTAACCTTCCACTACAAAATCACCCACATATTTATCAATTTTCCCTTTTATAAAAGAATACGATAACGAGAAGAAATGAAACAAACAAAATAGTGAATTTTATAAATTTGGATTTGGATTCAATGGAGAAAATTTTATAAAACCCTTACAACCAAACCCTTATAATGTTGATTTATGATTTTCAATTACAGATTAATTGGACGTAATTTATTTATAGAAAACCAATTGAAAGCACCTTTAAAGTACGCGTTATTTATTTATTGCTTTCATAGCTACCTAACGTACCTCCTTACCCAACTTAAGTGAATAATTATGTACCTACTTAATATACCTGTAAGGATTCTTTTCAAACATATTTAGTAAAGATAACAGAATAAGTGAGGCATATTCCAAGATTGTTTCGATTAAAACTAACAGTAATACGCTAAAGTATTATGGAAGTAAGTATCTTAAAAATACTCTAATAAAATAATTCACTCTAGCGGGGCCCTCAAGGCAACCTAAAGTGAAAGGATATCGTGACGAAACCAATACCTGCCTCCACTACCAACTATATGCCAGTTAACATCAGTTATCAGTATCAGGCAGTGCTATTAGTTAACCATCTTAGATTACATAATTTTCCATTCATTGAATATTTTTAATATTCAAGCAACTTACTACGTAAGTATAAAACTTATTATTGACTGCATCAATTCTAGTATATATCTTTAGAAATTATAAATAAGTAGCTATTATAATTAGGTAATCAATCTTTTAATAATGAAATAAGTACTCAATACGTTAAATTTTGTCTGAGGATTTTAATTTGGTAGTAAATTTAATTGACGTGTGTCTACTTATTTTAGTTTATCGTACACTTCTGTCAGTTAGTCACGAAGTTTTGCTCATTCATACCTCTCACCGCTTGCCCCAACATACATATCAATTATGTCTCCTGTCTTGCTTGATACTTAACTGTCGGCTGGGTTTTATTCAGTCGTACTGTATGGGCTCACTTCAGGCGTTGTGAGCCATTATTATGTCCCGTTATCATTGTTTGATTACGCGATATTTAGTACATTAACAGGCAGAAAAAAGAAGTAAATGAATCAGCGTACATGATACGACTTTTCAGAACAATGGTTCTCAAACTGTATGCTGTTTCTGATGGCCCACCATCACTGGCTGTGCGTCAGGCGCTGGCGCAACTTCAAATCCCATTCGAACTGATCAGCGTTGATTATGGAGCTGGCGAGCATATGACTCCGCAGTACGCTCTGGTAAGTAGGTATATAATTAGCCTGCAGCGAGGTCTACGTGTTTACGTTTACGTTTTACGTGTTACGTGAGGTTTACGTGTATACCAAACAAACTTTAGGAAACTTACCTACTAATTTGATCACTTCAAAAGTATAAAAACAGGTTTTTGCACCCATCTATTGCTTTGTAATAGAAAATAATTACGTTTTTTATTTTTCTACTAAGGCATAAAATGGAAACCTTTATTACGTTATGGCCAGTTTATAGCTAGATGCTGTAGTATGATCCTATCACTTGTATTAATACAATTTCAGATGAACCCTCAAAAAGAGATCCCGGTACTGGATGACGACGGTTTTTTTCTCAGTGAGAGCAATGCAATCTTGCAGTACATCTGCGATAAGTACAAGCCTGGTACCCCTCTGTATCCACAAGAACCAAAAGCGAGGTAGGTACCTGCCTTTAGATACCTATAATTGTTATTATAGCTACGCATTAATCGGCGGATAGACATTTTTTTGAATATAGCCATGAATAATAGCGATTCAACTGCACGGCTGAACAACGATCAGCTGAGTAGTCACAAGAATTATACAATATGGTAGAACAAAACTCGGTCAACTGGTTACATATCGACGCTAGAAAACAAACACGGAGTACCCGCAAAACAAAATTGTTTCCCGGCGCAGAGTAGAATTTATTTTTTCGAAAAATAATTTTGATCTCCGTAATCGACTTAGAGTTACAATCATTTTTGTTACAGATTATGATCATAAGATATTTCATAAATTTCGCTATCGGTATCTTATATTTCCACGACACGTAGGACGAAAAACATAAATATAGGTAATTGTTCCCATATTTATGAAACCGATTCATCAGCCGACAGATCGGCGCGAATATTAGGTGCCCGGATGACTTTAATTTAAGAAGTATCACAATCAATAATAAAAAATAAATAAACCTACCTATTATTTTTCCAGAGCTATTGTTAACCATCGCCTGTGCTTCAACTTATCAACTTATTATGCTAACATCTCTGCGTACACGGTATGTTATTATTTTATGTAGTATTTTATTAACTGTATTTGCCGGACTGAACATTTCCAATCCTGCTAGATTTCAGTTTTTGCGGGATCCCGTATATAAATATTAAGTGTTATAACATAATCATCATAGTAAATCTGTAAAATAATTAATTACTTAAATAAATATCTATTGACGTCACAGATACGTAAACAGTGATTTTCTATTTATGGTGAAATCAAGTTGAGTGTACTTAAAAATGAATTTGCGGGACTAGCGTTCCGTCTTCCTTGATAATTAAGTAATGAGCGGGACTGGAAAATGGCGCCAGATCTTCAAATACCAAGAGCTCGTTATTGCGAGATTTGAACCCGCACAAAAGCCCTAATCCATTAACTAACTTTCCACTCGCGGCTTCAATTGAGTGTAATACATTAATGTGTCTAAGGAGATAACGCTCCGTACATAGTGTACCCTACAAGCAAAAGTCCATGCGTCTCAATCAAACTTGCATTTCTGTATTAATATTTCATTCGAGAATAAGAATAAATATACTGTTGTGTTCCAACTAGGTGAGTTGTTAAGTTAAAGCATTTAAGTGTCACGCTTGTATTTTATTAACCGACTTGAAAATCGAAAAGGTGGAGGTTATATGTTCGACGGCGATGTATGTTTTTTTATGTATGCTCACCGATATTTTCCTCAATTGTTTACCGATTTTCAAAATTCTTTTTTTTATTCGACAGCTTGATGGATTGAAGTGGTCACATTTAAATTTTATCGAAATCGAATAAGTGACTTTCCTTTTATAACATAACAAAATACAATATATCATCTAAATATTAAGATGATATGTTATGACATGGCCCATTTCAGCTAAAAAACAAATTGTGTATTTAGAATTTATTCAAAATCAGAGCGCTTAGTCAATAAGCGCTCTAACACTAGGCCTTAGTGTAAGTTTTATTGACGTTTACTTTTACCATCGATCGTGACCGCATTAAGATTTTAGTAAGGAATCCGGTACAGCGACCCTAGCGGTAACTACCAAGAACTACAAATCTCCATAGAAATTTTTAACGCGCTTGCAAACCAGTGAACGTGTTAGCATAAAACTTACACTTACCACTCTAAAAGGTAGATTTTCTATGTTCTACGAGTATGTATACTTTACTGTTTGATGTTTATTTTTTATAAAAGTCATAGATAGTAAGTATCAATAAGTAAAGTATATATAGGGGTATGTTCATTGATTTCTTCTTGAATTGTAAATCAATTTCTATAAAACTGGCTATTTCCCTGCGATATTGTTTGCGTTAATTATAGTATATAATTTCCCGTAAATGAAAGACTTTTCTAAATCAGTCCAATAGCTTCAGGGCATATCAGATGCAAACAGACAAGCAATCAAATCCTTCCTCTTTAAAATATGAATATGAATTATTGGAAAAAAATTATATCAAGCAAATAAACAAAATCTCCTTTTCTAACTAAGAAGTAAAATATTTTTATTTACATAGATATTTAATATCTTTAGTGTTACCTATTATATAAAAATATCGATGTCACTATAAAGCATGAAATAAAAACTGTTTTATAAAAAGTCGAACCGACTTCAAGAAGATTGAAGGTGCATATCAATCAAACAATATCCTACAGAAAACCTCCGTACGCCTTCAATATCATTTTCTTGAATAAGTCGCTTTTAAGATAAGTATTATTATCACTTTTTTAAAGTCTGAAGTCGGTTCTACTTTTATAAAAAGTTTTTATAATGATACTTAACGCTATTTTTTCAGTATGTGTTTCTATTTTGTTCATACCATACTTCAGAAAACGATGATATAATTTTCTAAATATAGACGTTTAAAGACAGTAACAGAAATTTCCGTAATATTAATCTTCCATTGTCAAATGCTTCTTTATGGGAATGCAGAGTATTTTAGCAATTATGTAGTTGCCATTTATTGGAAGCTAATGCGGTATCTTAATCTAATAATAATAATCTATTTTAATCGAAGTATATAGGTATAGGCTAAAATGGAGCAGATCGGGGGAGGCTTATGTCCAGCAGTAAACTTTTGAGGGCTGATGATGATGACGACATATAATCTAAAGTAGAGGTAATTTAATTATATTAAAGATCTTCGCTACTTCTATTTCAGATGGCACCCATATTCTACGATTACGAACGTACTCCCCTAGGGTTAAAGAAGGTGCACATGGCGTTGGATGTATTCGAGACATACTTGGAGAGGCTGGGCTATAGCTATGCTGCTGCAGAACATCTCACTATCGCCGACTTCCAATTGATCAACACTAACATGACTCTCGAGGCTATCAATTTTGATTTTAGTCAATATAAAAGAGTAAGTGTTTGCAAAATGTGATTTTATATTTATCTGATATTTACAAGTCGAATGTGTGCCCAGTGTAGACGCACCTTGAGTTTCCTTTCATACCGGCATACAGCCCCCTAATAAAACAAGCAATGGTTATACAACATCTTTCAAACCAAAAGCGATGGCGATAGATTTAAAATTAGACAATCAGGGGGCTGAGCGACCTCCTACGTAGCATTTCAATCCATCAATTGAATTTATACGTACAAAATACACATACTTCTATAGTTTAGATATAGTCGACAGCACGTCAGGTTATTCTAATCAGAAAAATTTCGTAACACCTTTACATTTTGATGGTAGGGTATAAAATCCACCACAAATTTTTGAAATATTGTGGTAATCTAAAGTGCAGCCTTGTTTCCCTATTACATACAAATATTTTGTTAGTGACATAAGAACCAAGTTACTGGATAAGCATTTCAAAAAATTATTTAAACTTTAAAAAAATTGGCATATGGTAATCAAAGTCAAAAATAAGCTGTAAATATATTTTTAATAATTGTACTAATTTACAGATGAACAAATGGTACAACGATTTCAAAAAGAATTATCCCGATTTATGGAAGATATCTGCTGATGCTATGAAAGAAATCCAGCATTTCGCTGCAAATCCGCCAGACCTGTCGCATCTTAACCATCCTATACATCCAGCGAGAAAGGCAAATAAATAAATGTAGGTAATTTAAGACAACAGCATTGTAATATTATATTAACCTATATTAACATTAAAATCTGCATTATAAAGACGTCCTTGTTGTCTGGAAGTTACTGTTAATCGCAAAAAATGTACAATAACTATAGCCGCATTATATGTATAATCGTATGAATTTTATTTATTTAACCAGATCCTGATACACATCTCTTCAAGTAGCCGAGGCAGGCGTTGGTGCAGCAATCACTGTGACTCATACACTGCAATAATAAAAATAATAATATATTATACTTACGGAATTTGTCCTCTTTTTTGTGTTAGATTATAATCTACAAATAATTATTTGTAGTATTAATATAAATATTTGAAATAATTTTATCATCAATATCTTTACTACTATCTTTCAAGTTAAGTGAACTTAATACTTAGCAGTATTTATTTTTAAAACTTCCATTAACCGCCATCTAATATCTACCTAAGTTCTATTAGATACTTCGCATTATTATAAAGACAGTACTTACAAATTCCCCAATTTTAACACATTTGGTCTCAGTCGGCTTATTTACTTCGACATTGACATCTTCCACCTTATCCTTTGAAATTTCATTTTGTGGTATTTCACTTGTGGCGACATTCTCAACTTTCACATCTTTAGGTAAAATTAAAGATGAATTCACGGATTTACTAGCAAATGCAACAACACAAAGTAATAAAACGAGAATGCTTGTACGAGACATATTGAATTGACGGCGTGTGTAACACTGACGAGTTTTGCGAAAACGCATCTGCCTTTTGTATGTATTGTATGACAAAGCTTTTACTATGGACTCCTACTAGTTATTTTCCTTAACTTGAACAAATACCTACCCGCATACCAAACCTTGATAACACTCACTATAGAGGTTGATTCATTCAAAATTAAATATTCTAGACATAAATTCGTTGTGTGGTCGTAAATGTGAATGTGTTCACCAAAACTACTGTTTGTGATAATAAAATGTCTGCTAGGGATATCATTTGTTATTCAAAACATGGAGTTAACAATTCGGAAAGCAACACAACCAAGATGTTGTTTTTTTGGGTAAAATTCCTAACAGTACTGTGCGTAGTTAAACCATTAGCTGCCTAAAGCAAATGGACAATGACAGAAGAGAAAACGTTTAATGAGGACGTATTTAAAAAAGAAAGCGCTAGATAGCACTTCCACTAGATGGCGACTCTAGCAAAAGTTGGTTTTTGCAGAAAACGAATGGACCAAAGATAGTCATTTAAGTTCCTTTTACCTAACATATTAAAAATCTGAAATTTTCATCGACACTTAGATATCAATACAAATACGAAAAGTACAAATACACCTCACTAGAAGGCGACTCTACCAAAACTTGATTTTTGCAGGAAACGAATGGACCAAAGATAGTAATTTCCGTTCCTTTTAACTAACATATTTAAAAAACTGAAATTTCGAAACTTAGATATCAATACGAAAAAGCACAAATAGCATATGAGTTGTTTATTGAGTTTTTAAAACTAATTTACTTTTATACATGAAAGAAAACCGGAAGTGTTATCATGGAGAAATCAAGAAAGTACCGTAGCGACATCTAGTTTGATTTCGGGAACTAATGTTTTTTTTAATACTATCTCATTAAGACGTTTTGAGTTATTTTAGTCGGAAAGTGGTTTAAACCTGTTACATACTCATCACAACAGTAATATGTAGTTAGTCCTCTCTTTATAATATTTCGGAGTGTGTCAAACTTAAAGTCATCTATTATATTGCCCAAAGTACTGTCTAATAACCTTAAATTATGTATTTCCGACGAGTTAGACAAATCGTCGGAAGAATTCCATGAGTATCTAAATCGCAGATAAATTCTTAGGATACTGTCAGATTCGATAAGGTCGATTCGGCCCGATAATTCCTAAAACCTCATAATAACACATTTTTGGTTCTCACTCAATATAGGTGCGGGCAATGAATAACGTAGTGACCTGGCGCGCAATATGCGTGCTTTTTTGTAGAGGGTATACAGAAACAATGAAACTTATAAAAATAACATTATTAGCATGAATGATGAAACAAGAACGAAACTAAGCTTCATATGAAACTAGTTTCGTAATGGCGTGTAATCAACAGTAGTATCACTGAGACTCATGGCCAACTCTGGTTCTGTTATTATAGTTTAGCTATGTAAACCGAGGTGAAATTACTGGCACTATTTGATACTAGTTTCATCAAAAATATACACAACGCTCTAACTTTAGTGTAGTGAAACTACTGATGCATACATACATTGTGAAAGTTGAAACCGCAGGCGAATTCTGGTAATGTAATAAAATCTCAACTAGCCACATTTTTCCATAGTACCTACTATCTACCTGAAGTCCAATATTATTTATCTGTCACCATTGATGTATGAGAAATGCATTGCACTAATAATATTGGACTTTAGGTAGACTGTAAAATGGTCAAAGTCAAAGTCAAAAAGTCAAAGTAATCTTTATTCAAATAGACTTCTTAAAAGTACTTTTGAATCGTCCAACATTTTTTTCCCTACCACTCGTTCAGGACGTCTTTTGGCCGATAAGAAGAACGAGCAAGAAACTCACCAGCTCTAATAAGAGTAATGACATTTACAAAAACCATGTCATTACCAGATCTATACATTATAAACAGAGATAGAGAAAAAATAAATAAATATGGTCTTATAATGATAACATAATCATTTAATAATAATGGAAACAAGATAATGAGTTTAGAAGTAATCACCTATCCAGTTGCTGGATCATCTCAAGTCCAAGCGTTCTTATCTGTTACATAATCGAATACCTTATAATAAGCTTTTATAATTGACCTGCAGGATGTTTACGTGTGTAAAATGAAACTAATGGCATGCTGCGACTAGGCAGAATTATGCAGACAATGCAAAAAGCATAGGTGTATACAAGTAAGAATTAGACAAAGACACATACATAATACCTACAAATCAATTAAATTTATATTATTTTGTCGTTGTACCATCCACGTAGATATAGAAAAACAATACACCCTATATGTGTACCAAAAACCTTAATCTATTAAGTTCACATTAGTGCAATCCTTCAGCCTTAACAAATGCGCATATTGACATTAATTGATAGATTAACTAGGTTTGATCGGTCTAAGTATTTACATTTTTATGTTTATTCGTGTTTTAGGTATTAACTAAAAGACAAATAGTCATAAAAAAGACCGAGTGCAAGTCGCTCTCGAAAATATTATTTTTTTATAAACTATAGACTACGTTTCCTGTAAATTACATTGCAATCCTTTTTCAAATTTCCGTTGCAATTTTTTCATAATTTCACGCATTGTGACTTCGGCACGCTTCGGGGATAAAAGGGACAATCATTGTATGTCATTAGCTCCTAAGCATACCTCAGTATTTTTAAAAGGATATTATATGTTCAACGGCGATGTATGTTTTTTTTGTATGTTTACCGATATTTTTTTATTACAAACAAAATATGCGTTTTACCAAAAAGTAAATTTTTACATGATATGTATATGTCGTAGCCAACTGGTTAAAACAGGCGTTCAATTGGGCGGCTATCCATGGCCAATAATTGGATTGCGCCATTCAATGGCATGCCTAGTTTTCTAGTTGAATCATTATGAAATTTGGACCGTTCAACAAAACGTTAGTTTAGTTTTGTCATTTATGTTGTTATCATTTTATCTTGTTATTATCTATTGTAAAATACATTGCCTTCTCTGCTTTCAATAGATTAATCGCGGTATATCTTGTCTTTGTATAATTGTATTAGTATGGTAACGTTTTCATTCCCTATACAAACTTTATTTGCTGTTTTTCGGGATAAAATATAGATTATGTTATGCGGTGGCATATGGTGTAGCTTTTAGTAGGTGAAAGAATTTTTAAAATCGATCCAGTAGTTTCGGCCTTATCGTTACATAACGCGTTGTGGCAACGAAGAGAAACCATGAAGAGTATTGAATCATATTTGTTTTTTTTAAATGCCCGGTTTTACAATATATACACCACTCTTTTTTAATTTCAACTTCACATTTTTAGTGTTGCTTATTTAATTAAATTTTTTATCTATCAAAAATATCTTTCTTCTTCTATTTAATCTATTTTATACATTCGCTTTTTCATACCATGTGTTACTTAGTTTTACTTACTTTCATTAGATCATTTATTTTTACTTATTGAAACCATATTTGATTAGGTTAGATTAGAGTATGACAAACAATGCACGAGCCGAGCGAGCAAAGCGAGCGTGCCGCGACAACGGCTGGCGAGTGCTAGAAGCGAATCGCTATAGTAAAATAAAACAATTAGTTATTTTTTCGCGCAATGAGCGATTACGATCTTTGTGCGTAACATATATATAGATTAATGTCGAAACAAGAAGGGCAACTTTTATAAAAATAATTTGAAAATAAGATCGCTGTCTATGTCTCACTCCACCCAACACATCAGAGATTCCAATGAAAACATATAAGTATGAAGAAGAAAAAACATGCGAAAATATTAAATTTTATTTTAGAAAAGCATTATTTTATATTTTTCTTTAATAAATTCTGTGAAACTAAACTCAACATTGATACAGTGTGTTTTCCATGTAAAATGAAATATCACGCATTTACCTAACGATTGAACCAATTCGTTACACTTGGTAGCTTCACTTGATTATCTTTTTGTTTCGGCAGCATATTACCTAAAGATAGACTTGGTATCGCATTATTTATCGGCTGTATAGGAAGAAGTTCTGTTGGGATTGGTACCAGTTCCAGTAATTTCTTGATTTCGTTTTGGCATACAGATCCCAATAGTCGGTCGGCCATATTGCCCCACAAACCCATCTGACAGAATCTGGAAGTAACAAATAATTTTATATTATAAAGTGATATGAGGCAAACCTGGATATATATTTATAATATAGAAAACATTAGATTGATAATATTAATCTAAGTATGTAGAAAACATCTACTTCGAAAATAGTTTCAAGGTGCCCGACACGTGACAGATTATATATAATTCTCTTTACAATGCAAAAAAGCATTCTGTGACGAGTTTACACACGAATTTTGCATATATTTAATTTAATAGGTACCTATCGGACTGCAATTCTTAGAACAAGATTATTAAAATAGCAAGCACATGAATTATGCATTGGTTGGTGACTGGTGATAATTTTACTTTTGCTTTAACCGGTCTAATGGGTAAATCATATTGTAAATTTTTAACTCACCTAAAATTCTCGTCCAAATTTTCAGATCTGATGTTATCACTTATTCTAAAGAAAGTATTTCCGTTTGTTGGAAATGAAAAAAGCCCTTTCGATTGGCTCACGTTTTTACTAGCGAAATCTAAATTGTGAGCAAATTGAGAGATTACTCCAACAAAATTGTTGCGCACGCGAGAGTCGGTTTGAGAAACTTCTCCTTCCATTGAACGGCCATTTTCATCTAGAGGATCAAATATATAAGCCAAATCGTCCCCATGAGCTGGACCTTGATTCTTTGCTTGCCTTACATCATTTTCCTTTGAATCCTCTGCAATAATCATTTATGTGATTAATAAATCTTTAGTACCTAGGCATTATTGAAATACAAAGCGAGAAATGTAAACTGGAACAATTAATTGTTATGAAATTAAAATAATTTGTCCTTGGTTTACAGCTTGGTTACGGATGATTTAAATGGAATATAGTTGTTCAAACAAACGGAGACCGCCATATAAAACTGTTTACTTTAAAAAAAAAAAAGAACGATAATAATTACTTTTAGAACGATTCTATAGTTACTGTCGGTAATCTAATTTATACCTATATTAAACCCTTACGATCAACTACCCCTTGGTCTGATCTACCCCTCTTATGGTACAATGGAGTCATAATCATCAACCTATTTTAAGCCGTATTCTTATGACAGTTAAGTTCTAAACTAAATTCGAAAGGCCTTTTGTAGTGACCTGATGTGCGGCAGTTTGTTCTTTAAATTTTGTAACCCCATTATTTATAATGTTAATATTACCCATGAAATTATTTACAGTTTAAAATATGCTATAAGGTTTATTATTCCAATGACAGTTACCTGCTAGGGCCACCCCAGGTAAGAAATAAGAGCCCTTTGTAAGATTCCCATTGAACTCGAAACTGTAGAGGTAGGCAGGTGCAGCTTTACCCCAATCTTTTACACTCCTAAACGCCGGGAAATTAAACAGTGCGTCACCTGAATGAAAAAAACAACCTTTATCTTCATATAATACAGATTATTATGAAGAATACGTTTTTATAAAATGCATTTTTTGAGTTATTCTACTTCTTCCTTCTCTTATGGACAACTAGATCTTTTCCCGTGACTTCGCCCGCATAAATTAAAAGTAAAAAAATTTGGTAAACGTTGTTCATCGTTTGGTCGGTCATTGTTTTATTTTGCAATGAGATGAGTGCCAGAAGTCATCCACACTCCGTGTGCTAACTTTGTCAACCAGTATAAATGTGCCATTATTCGACCCAGTGCCGTCTTTACCCGAGGGTGCAACGGGTGCTGTGAATATTTAGATATTTCATGGGACTTAACGTCATAACCCAGTTTCATATACTTGTTACAATAAATACGTGTGTGCAAAATTAAATATAAAAAAAATAGTCATCAACAATAATCATTATTTTACTTTTATTACGCTTCTGGCGTTTATCATACCTCTCATAATGTGCAAGCTAAAATGACTCTTATTACTACACAAATAACAATTTTATTTAATAAAACACGGGTGCGGCAAAATCTCTAATCTTAGAAACACATTGCCGCCCGGTTGCCCGTACTTGAAGCAAAATGCTCTCTAAGTCAATAATGTGTAAGTTCATTTGTAAAGTGTAAGACAGAGCACTGCTTCCGCTCGGGCGCCTGTTGTGCTTAAGACGGGCCTGATTCTACCATTAACTTTAGTTTTGTAAATAAGAACACACAGAAGCTCAATTCTGTACCTACACCTAGGCAGATACTTAAAAACAATGATACCAGTAACTTCTGCAATAGCAGATAGTCCTTTGACAACATCTGCGCCATTCTGAGCCAATCGGTTGTAATACTCTTCGAAGTTTCCCAGTATAGGTAGTTTTTTGAGCTCTTCCTGGATTGGGAGAAGTCCTTCCACACCATTTACCACATTTTTCAGACCACCGATAATATCTTTCTTTATAAAGTCCTTAATCTTCTCCAATTGATTGGTGAGGGTTCGTGAATACTTTCCTGCACAAATAAAAAAAACAAATAATTCTTGTATCAACTATTTCACTTCTTAATTCCTTTCTAATTCAATTTAAATATACCTATTAAATAGGTATACAATTTTATTGTTTTACAAGCAAAAAGAATTATACATATATACACACTGTTTTGCTTCGTTTTAAATTTTCTTAGAAATGCGCATTTAAAACTTGCACCAAATACCTACAATATTATCATAATGACAACACACAACAATACCTTCTTCATTTTACCACAAATAGTTACACATTATGTAGGTATCTATATCTCTCTTTAATGGCGTTGTCATTAATTTATACTTAAATTGAGATTATCTACCTACTGCTGACGCTCGATTATTGTTTCTCGATCATTGATTCGGTATTACTCCTCGCTAACTTAAATGTTACCTACTTAACTAAAATGTATTATTCCCCTAATGCAAAGAGAAAACGGGACGAAATCAACTTGCCCGTCAATGAGATATTAGAAGACAATGGCACAATGCACAGGTTTTTTTTATTCAGAAACTTTTATTGATTCAATTTTTGGCTTTTTCAATGTACTTACTTAATTTTTTTTTGTAGTTTTGTATACCTGTATACCTACCTACCTACACTACCACCCATCCTTTGATCTGTGTGAAATTATTTTTTCCTAAGAAATTAAATAAGAATACCTAGAAATGGGTCTCGTACTCGAAACCCGATGGAGTTATCGCCTCATTACAAAAGGTTCGAGTCCTATCACGGGGTGGAACTGGCGAATTTTTAAACATCTTTAATTTAAAGTATTTATCAATAATGTATATCATTATGAATGTAAAATTCATCAATTACCTATATCTATGATTATAGAAGTACATTTTTAAGATTTTACCGAACACGGCCCGATTGGTCTCTGCTGTGGTGACGCCCGTGAGTAAAGGTGAAGACTGTCTCTTTTTCTTCAGGCTCGTGGTTGGTGGCTCCTCTATCAGTGGTGGAAGGCCGCGATGATCATCTGCACCTTCAATCCGCACCCCTGGTCCTGATAATAAACACAAAAAATTACCTACCGCATAGATTTTGATGCGGTTTACGCTAATAAAGTGATTTTCGAGGAATCTACAAAACGTAGGCCTTACCTTTTAAGGGTAACTAAAAAACATAGTAATATTTTTATATACAATGGGGTAATTGGAAGGCCTTACCTACTAATATGTATTGAAATATGCTTACATGTGGAATAATAGGCCTACCGAATAATTAAATAAGCTTCAATTTGTTTTGTACAGGATTCAATCAAAATGCACTCAACTTGCACGAAACCACACATAAATTAACCAAATGTTGAACGTACACACTGACGGTATTTGTACAATATTGAACGGCAATTAGAATTTTAATTGAATCCAACGCCAACCATGTTGATTGTGTAGCTACTCAGTAGGCCTGTAGGTCAGAATGCGTCAATTTATTGTTGCAAAATTATTACCTGTCTTTCCTGAAATTTCGTTCAAAAACATTTCTGTGTCTACCAAATCTGGCCCCATTTCACTGTCTGCCTACAAGTAAAAATATTTAAAAAAATTATTTATATTTTTAGAATTTTTGTGCGTTTCTATTAATGGTTCACACAGGTTTCATGGTGTTGCTAATCGTCTGTGAGGTTCGTCAATGTAAAAAATAACATATTCTATATTATCTCGGGTCTGAGTAACACAAAGACTTTAACTACTTGAGATTTAAACGTTGTGATAGGACTCCCCTTAATGGCAGAATTTTACATATCACTATGTTATTACGCAGAGCAGCAAATGGCATACCATAACTTTATTTCGCAGAAAATCGCTTGGCAGGCACTACCTACTAATATAGCATTACATACAAAATTCATAATTAAAAAACCAGAATCAACTTTAGGTATACATTTTTATATGTAGGTAATAATTTTATAGAAAATTCACAATTCTGTCTCCAAAATAGTAATTTCAAAACACTGTTGGTCTAACTACTACACATATACCTATTTTCCATTAAATGTTTGAATATTGAGCATCGAGTATTATTAGTTTCAGTGCGAACTTCTCTAGGACAACATCATTGGGGTTTCTTTTATTTCCCTAACCATTTTGATAATTCGATGTAGTTCTCTCTTTCTAACCTACAACATACTAGAGCGTAGACATATAGTTAAACAGATACCTTTATGATTTCTTCAGCTGGCCGCTGCTTCAAACAAATTACCAGTCGCTCAATAGGAGTCTCTGGGCAATCAGTACGTTTAGCAAGCTCCTTGGTATATTTGGACGGATCTTTGCGTATCGCTCCCGGTGACAGGGCAGTACCAGATAGCGCTACTACACCGTCACTAGTGCGGCCTTGCGAAGTCAGAGCCATCAAAGATGCTGCGCTGCCTCCAGATCCTTGACCCATCAAAGTGATTCTTGTTGGATCGCCGCCAAAGAATTGAATGTAATCTTTCACCTTTAATTTTGAAATAAATAGTTTTCTTAGTAGTCTAGGTACCTACATAGAATAACTACGTACGCAGCAAATATTGCATTGTTAAAATTTGCAAATAATAAGTTTAATAATAGGTACTAACTGTTTCCCGCGACTTCGACCGCGTAAATTATAGCTTATCACCTACGAACGATATTGTATATAATATGGGTGAATATTTTTTTAAATCAGTCCAGTGGTTTCAGAGCAATACGAACACAAACTTTACTCATTAGAAAATAATAGCGACAACGTGTTTATCATAATAATGAGGAAGGTATTTTTTTTTTACATAAAAGCAAACAAAACCTTTTTTATCTTAATCTTCTCCAAGAACCCTTTGATTTAGTACCCATATTATGAGATTCCATAAAAAAAAATATTTTTATTTATTATAAATAAAACATTTCAATTTATATTAGTGGAAACGTGTCCGGAATGCACTTCCTAAGTACAATCGCGTTGAACATTAAAAACAAATATTAAAATCCACTTTAACTAATATAATGCTAACTTTAAACCGCTAAGAAAACTTAAATATAATATCAAAACCACTGTGTAAGTGTGGTGGTGTGAATCTATATTTTGTCTTTTTCAATCAAGTGAAATTGCACATTAGTGTGAACAGAGCTATAGGTAACTACTACACAATGGTTACAAGTTTCTTTCAGTAGATAAGCGTAAGTTTATAATGAAGAAGTATTTTAAAAAAATAGTTCCCAAAATTAAACTAGATGTCGCCACGGTACGTTTTTGATTTCTCCGTGACAACCCTTCCGGTTTTCTTTCATGTATAAAAGTAAATTAGTTTTCAAAACTAGATACTAGGTACAAATAGAATATGAGACTACTCATATTCTATTTGTACCTTTTCGTATTTGTATTGATATCTAAGTTTCGAACGTTGCTAATTTCAGTTTTTAACCATGTTAGTCAGAAGGAACGGAAATGACTATCTTTGGTCCATTAGTTTCCTGCAAAAATGATATTTTGCTACAGTCGACATCTAGGGGAGATGATTATTTAATGCTTTCTTTTTTTAAATACTAGTCAATCACAACCAGAACGTGAATTTATAACCCCGTTAGAAAAAAAAACAGTTTACCAAAAAAATACTATTTTTACATTTCTTGTAGCACCGTTTTACCTGCTACACTTTCTAATTGAAAGCTAAGATAAAATGCACTGAGATACAAAACATACATAACAATAAAAATGAAAGGGCCAAAGTGCGTCGGAGTGCCAGGGACGAAGTGGATCTTCTGAAAAAATCATCATCAGAAAAAAAAAACAAATTATTTACTAAGAATAATTTTCAGTATAGCTTTGTGAATACAAAATTGATGAAACATAATAAAAAAAAAAAGTTTTTTAATAACAAGATTTTATTTGTGTGCACTCAAACGTAAATAATAATTAAATCTAGTTAGTTCGTTTTTTATTATATTATTATTTTTTACTTTTTAGTTTTCTCAATATATGTTGTTGTTCTCATTAAGAATCTAAAGAGCCGAGAGAAGTGGATCAAATTCGAGTTCAAAGATTTCAGCACTAACTAACATACAAACTTACTAGGCAGGTTAAATAAAAGCTTGTAAAAATGGCGTTAGTTTGGCAAAAAATTAATAAAAATTTAAATAGGATGAAAATTATTAATGAAATCTAAAACTACATAATTTCTGAAATAGCTTAAACTAGTTAACATAGATATTGTGGGTAGATGATAAATAGACATGGTTTATTAACCTCGGACTATTGTTGTGTACTAATTTGCGCACTGAGAACGATTTTTTCCTGTAGTAGTGTTTAATGTTTACGTATGGAAATATTGATATCGGTCATATCTAGAAAAAGCATGCAGTGGCGATACTAGTGTAACACGTGTCTTTGTATGAATGAAATAAATATACTTATTTTGTAATGAGAGAAAGGGATGAGTTTCAAGAAGACATCAACGAGTGCTGCATTTTTGTAAAGTTAACTTTAATTTTCCGCAATTACTTGAACTTTGCAAAATAAAATACAAATGAAATTTATATTACTGGTGAAAAGTTATACCATCTTTCTTGCAATTCGATGTTCTGTTTCCTCATAATTATGATAAACACGTTATCGCTATTATTTTTTTATAGAAAACAAATAAAACTCATGTCACACGTTCTGTTTCGAGGGGGGTAGTGTGTTAAAAAATTAGCTACAGGCCCCGCTCTGGCTTAATTCGGCACTGCATTTACTTACCCAGGACACAGCTACATGTAGGTCAAAAAGACCAGCATTCCCAGAAGCTTCCTTTTGCTCGTTACTTATAAATCCAAGTGAGCCTAGACGGTACTGGGGTACGACTAAAATTGTGTCTTTTTGATTTAGGTGTTTTCCCTGTAAAATAGATTAAGATTAGAACCATACCACCAAAATACGAATAAAAATTTCGAAGGTTTTAAAACACTTACACCATATGGAACGGCAGATCCTGTGCGATAATTTCCACCATGAATAAAAACTATAACTGGACTGCCTAAATGAAGAATATACAAAAAACATTTAATAATTTATTTAAGGAGAGGGTATAGTATACAATTTTAGAACTTATTTTTTATCACTATAATCGGTCTATTAGAACAATAAACATTCTTGATTAGATTAGATAACATCACATAAATTGCTCAGCCCTGCAATTCTGTAAAAATCCACACCCGATTTCGAATTCACTCCTGTGTCCGAATTTGCGTCATTGAAGTGTAGATTGATTCCATTTTTGTATAAAAACAAAAGTGATTGGATACACGTGTCTCAGATATTCTATTCCTATGCCTTTTCTAAACTGGCGTTACTTATGCTACGTATCAATTCAAGGTTGATCGGATGCCGCTTTTTAAAGTAAATTCGGAAAATGCATGAATTCTAAATCGGATCGGATCGAATGCGATAACGCTCTATCAAGCTTACTTTAGTTAAATGTAGTGGATGGCATATTGAGGTCCACTTTACTGACCTCTTTCTTCACCAGGCATTTTAGGAGCAAATACGTTAAGACACAGGCAGTCTTCATGGCCCACTGATCCATGTGGAGAATTTGGATCTGGTTGTGGACATCTCTGGCAAGCTTTTGTTGCATTCAGTTCACCAGCAAGAATGCGACGTACAGGACGCTGAAATCTGCGTACCCCCACAGGTGGTTCGGCATATCTGATAGAAAGAATAAAAAAATTAAAGTTCCCTGTGCTTTTTATTTATACATAACGGTGTTTAGCGTTTGCTTATCCACTAATACATGCAAAACTTCAAACCTGATACCGAAGAATGAGTAATATCCCAATTGATTGTCCCTTATGCCCTCAATACGGCCACTTCTACCATGCAACTGAGTGAAGACGACAGCAGCATCGGGTTCTGGAGCGGCTGCCGGATCTCCACCAACAACTGCGATCGCGGGCTTTAGAACCATTATAAAAATCCCTACATATCCTACCAGTAATAAACGGCACGACCACACTCCGCGCATTTTGATGGCAAATGATGCATGATTTTTATCCCACACAGGAAACTGTATCCTGCGATAGGAGTAATCGTCGAATTTTAATAAAGTTTCACTGCGCCAGCGCAAAAATTAAAATCCCTCCCTTGCGTTGCGATACTAGCCGTATAATTGTCTTGTAAAGATTACCAGCTACGCGGCTTGTGTTGTGCGGTACCGAACCAAAAGTTACCGAACCAGACTTGACTTCAAAGGTCTTTAAAAATATTAGATGCATATTAAAAAAAAACATTGTAGACGAATTAACCAAATATGAAATAGTAGTAAATAGCTTTGTACATACATTATATAAAACCTTTCAACATTGAAGTTAAAATCAATTGCGGAAATTTGACATATTGAGGTAGCTTGACGTGCAGTCATGTGTACCTGTCCCTAATATGGAATACTGAAATGCCTTAAATTATTATAATATATTCCATATTCGATTACTTTAGTATATGTTTAAATATGTCGGGGCTAGATCGAAGAATAGATCATTCATGATGCCGTCGGCCATTTCATAAATTGCTCGCATTTCATAAAATGGAAAAAACTTGCTGCCCACATCATGTTTGGACCTGGCCAGATTAATAAATAATCTGCCTCTAGCGATATGGACGACTGATCGTATGACTGATTCATGATTTGGCCAAGCATTAGGGATCATATCGTAAAATTGTTACATCAGTCTGCTTTAGAGGCGCAAATGTCGCATGGTGTTTGTTTGAAATACATGACATATTTTTATTTTAAGTTATAAACCAAATAAAAGAAAATAGGATGACCATGCATCCAAAATAAACCAAAATAAATGGACTATTAATGGATTTCTAAATGTCGCAGTAAGATAGATAAAGCCGTAATATAGTTCACACCCGATTTCGAATTCACTCCTGTGTCCGAATTTGCGTCATTGAAGTGTAGATTGATTCCATTTTTGTATAAAAACAAAAGTGATTGGATACACGTGTCTCAGATATTCCATTCCTATGCCTTTTCTAAACTGGCGTTACTTGTGCATAGATATATAATTATTTACAGTAACTGGGAAACGAAAGTGATTTACTGAAATAATTATAAGAGTATATGTGCAAAGGAGCGGCGCTGCGGGCTATTCTGTGGTGTTTATGGAAATGTCACATTGATATAAATTCGGAAGTTGATAAAATTATAGGTATTGAAGGCTATAAAAGTTTTGAACTAAACTTCCTATATGATTAGCTAGTGTAAGTAATGTCTGGTTAGAAATTTAACCTTTAAATTTCGAGGTTATTTTTTTTAAGACTACAGAAGACGTTGCACATTTTTCATTTGAGTTTCGATAAAGCGTATGAAGCGTAGTTTTCATTTATTACATTTGAAAACCCGCACCGGGCGCAAGACAAGGATGAGTGAGCACTTCTTTTCTGTGTTCTGTGGTGATCGAAATTCAAGTACGGTATATTTTTTATTTACAAGAAATAAACTTATAAAGTTTATTAAATGATAAATCATACTTATCTTAAAAGCGACTTATTCAATAAAATGATATTAAAATCGATTTTCTTTAGGTTATTAATTTAATGATTAGAATTTGTATTTTAGCTGATATAAATACATATATCATCTATATATTTTGTTACAAAAGGAATATTGGTGATTCGATTTCGATAAAAAAAAATTAAATGGGACAGCCTCGGCCCATTAGCCTGTTGAATAAAAAATATTTATTAAAGGCGGAAATATTGGTGGACATACATCGCCGTCGAAAAATATAACCTCTTCCTTTTCGATATCGAAGTCGGGTATTCGTCTGTTCTCTTTAAGGTTCAAACTGCAGTACCAGACCTATCACATTGAACTTCAATAAAACCATCCTTTTACTTCACCGCCCTTATGTGTCCGAGAAAGTTAGAAGTTAACTAAATGAAATAGTGAAATAGTCCGTCACTAAATCACTTAATTTCACTAAATACCAAAATGGTTTTGTAAACGAAGTTTCTTCTGCGAATGACTTAAGTATCTGTTTTTTACCTATGTTATTATTAATATTGCCAATGATGTAATCCAAAAAATATCTAATATGAATATTTTTGGACTTTTTATAGCGAAACGCACGCTATTAATATTATGTTCGACTGATAGATAAGGAAGGCGTTGTTTCGTTACATGTGTGCGTGGAAATGTACAAAAAACCACACTGTTAACTGCACAGATTTTTTGCTGAACCATCACATGAAAGAGACGCATAATTGACGTTGACAATAATGAACTCTAGCCATAGGCAGATGAATGTTATTTAATTACATCAGAGTATATTATCAAATCGGGCTATATAGGCAAGTGTCGTTTTCTTCGACTTCTGAAAAATTATATTGATATTAAATGTTACAAATATACTTTTCAACAAAATATGTCTCGACGTGACGGTCTACTCTCAAACCCTCAATAACGTTTTTGTATGAAAACTTAATCCGAACATTTGAATGATACTTATTTAAAGCTTGTTGCTGTTCAACAATAAAATAATAACGATTTGCTTCAGAAGTTTGATGTATTTACGAAAATTAATTTAGCGGGTTTTAAAACTAGACCACTCATTGTAGCATTTGAAACGAATTTATTTAAGACATTTCTATGAGCCGGATTTCATTGGAGTAGAAAAAATTACAATAATTATTCAATTTGATATCCACGGATACTTCAAATAATCAAGCCTTAAGGATTATTTCGACTGTAAACTATATTAAATCTTATATATAAAAATGAATCGCAAAATGTGTTGGTAAGCGCATAACTCAACAACGCCTCGACCAATTTGGCCAAATCTTTTTTTTAAATGTTCGTTGAAGTTCAAGGATGGTTTTTACGGCGAGAAAAATTAGAATTATTGCTGGAAAAACCCTAAAAATAGCCCTTTTCTTTTTCCCATACAAATGATTTGTAACTAAAACGTAGTCAATTTGAGCTTTATTGCTATGGTATAAAGTTCATATTAAATTACAAGCACTCACTGTTGTCTAAGCAATGTAGGTGTGTTCCTAACGTCAAAGATCATATCTATCAAAACAATGTGCGTGTGTGCGTTGGAGCACAGAATACATAGTTGGAGGAGTTTAATGTCGCGTTCCGAAACTCGCGTTTCTTTTGTATAAATAAAACAATTCGTACGGCTTAAAAGGATTTGACTTCAAGTCATATCAAATTTAAAAAAAAAAAGTTGTCTGTGAATTACTTACTTTTAAATCCTTATATGTTTTATTTAATTATTTTTTATTCACAACGCCCTATCACCAGGGTGACGGTTCTGTTCAGGAGAATTTTTTTAAATACGTAAGCAAAAAAACTGCCACATTACAAATCTTTTTGACAGGACGAAGTCTGTCGGGTCAGCTAGTAGTCAATAAAAGAGTTTAAATAAAATGATTATTACAACTAATATTCTAATAGTCATTTTATTTTTTTAATTCGTGCAACAATTTTAAATTGCTTATTTAGCACGTACCTATATATTGATACTTAAAATATGTGTATCATAATAATTATTATTATGAGCTGGGACATCGGCTCAAAAGTAATACCAACACGGGTGTAGACAGTAAACGAAAATAAATAACTACTTCTTTAGTGTTTAATATACTTTTACCGATAATCACACATTCATGCTTATTATATTTATACTATTATTGCTAAAACTAATTATGAAAAAACAATTTTTTATGCTCATGGTCACGTGAACGCAAACAGCGCGTGATGTTACACCCTTCTCATGTCTCCTCTACACGTAGACAGATTCATCTGCAGATGACGTCGGCAGACGCGTCCGCCGACGTATAGAGGGGGTGATTTGCTCATCTGTGGTAGGTATTTGACGTCGGCCGATGCGTCCGGCACTTATCCGAGAGTTGTCGGTTTTTGTGGCACGGATCAAAGGGTTCCAGGGCGAGCGATCGACGCAAGCGAGCGGTCTGTCCACACGTCTGAAGACACCAGCGTTGCAAAACCTACCGATTTTTCGGTAGATCTCCCGATATGAGCCCTCGTTTACCGAAATACCGATTACGAAGTTATATCTACCGATTTTTAAGTTTGCCACTGGTTTTTACCACAAAGAAACCAAATTCAATAATATTTTATTATTTCTAGCAACACCACTCTATTTTACTCTATGAACCCTACCCATAGTCTATTTCAATCACACTTATTAACGAAATTATTAAGCTATCCTTTTCTCGCACGTGTTGTCATCTTGACGTCTTGCTTGGCGCTATGGGGATTCCCCAAGGTTATTCCCCATTGGGGAATAACCTTGTTTGACCGTATGCTACAAATACTATGAACAAAAATGGACGCTATTGATAGCGAAGTAAGATTCATTTTACTAGAAGGGTTTGATAGGATCCAGTAAGGGAAATCCCCTGTAAATATGAAATTATTTCTTGTTTGAAAACATTTCTTATTCGATTCATTCATTCTCCTTAGGAAGATTGAGCGTGTTACAATATAGCGTATTAATTTTGTTGGGGCGAAGTTAATTTTATAATGTCTGAGGAAAGTTCAGATTCTAATGCTGGTGCATCGACTAGTACTGGTGTCAAGCGAAAGAAATATCAACAATAATTAAAAAAAGAGTGGGAGTTACGACAGGAGTTCTCTGCATGGTTGTCTCCACATTTATCAAAACCTACTTTTGCAATATGCAAATCTTGTAATAAGGAGATAAATATATCGTCGGGGTACGACGCTCTTAAAAAACATGCCAAATCTAAGCTTCACGAAAATAGTGTTAAGAGCTTAGCTGTTCAACCAAAATTGACAGACTTTGTCAGTAAAGAAGTTACTCAGTTTAAACATCAAGTGAAAGAAGGTAAGTGAGGTTTTAATTTTTTTTGCGCCAATTTAAATAAGGTATATATTTTTTTGTTTTCAACTTATTTATACCAAACAATAAGTTGTTAAATTAACAATTTCATTCATTTCAGGTGAAATCCGGATTGCTGGGTTTGTAGCTGAGCATAATCTTCCATATAATATTACTGATCATCTTTCTAAATTAGTTGTACAGATTTGTCCAGACTCTAAAGTTGCAAAAAGTTTAAAATGCTCACGTCCAAGAGTGCAGTCTATCGTCGAA